ACTGCGATTGTTACTTCTTTTTCCCCTGATCAATCCTCTTTTGATGCGTATGGTCTCAAACTTGCCGCTAATGACATACTTCTCGTCGAATCGCTTCCTTCTCAATACTCGTTTTTGCTTCAACTCGCTCCGTTCAATTACTCGCTTACTTGCACACTTAGTTACAACAGTTCAAATCAATATGTCTATGCGGTAGCAATCGCTACACAGATGCAGGCCAACAGTACGATTCGATTCGTCTTCATCGGTGTGAGCACGGACACAAATATGCCATTCATTGGTTTATTGGATTATACAGGGATCAGTGGAGCTGCATATGTAGCTAGAACGAAGACTTCACAGAAAAATACCTTTCCATGTGATGGATGGAGCGCATATAACTATAGAATACACAATTTCAATCAGTTCGTGTACGGAGAAAGCGATGCAGGCAATAATATCAATTTCTACGTTGTTGCTGTCGAGTAAGTACTCGCTTCTTTCTTGATAGTAGCAGTTATTTCTGAATAAGATATGATTGAAAAATGTTTAAAATGCTAAGATTTGCTGCTTACTGTGATCGAGTTTAACGAAGTCTTCTCTCTAAATGTGTAACAGGCTTTTGTGAAACACGATTGTGTATGAGCGTTGAATTATATAGCGAGCAAAGTGAATCTCCACCGATATATCGATGTACTAATCTGGTTGAGGATTCTCAATAGATTGCGAACCCAGAAGTCTCATGAAACTCGTTGTTCTCGGCGATTAGATAATCTTATGAAGCATCGTCATACAAGCAAATCGGCACGCGGGAAAAATACATTTCGTATCGTAGACCATGACAGACAAAGAATAATAAATTTTATCAAAAAATATACCATATTATTCGACAGTCTTTTTTTACTCTTGATTGCTGTTCGGCGGTCCCACATTAATCTGTATCATCCGAGTGAATTTACTTCGGATAACATCAATTTTCAGGTGTGCGCTATATTGAAGTCCTTTACGTTGTAGTCTGCTTCAACACAAAAACACCATTTTTTCATGTAATATTTATTTTTCAAAATAGAATGAGTCATTCTTGGTCGTAAGAATTCGAGGCTCTATCTCTTCATTTCCACTAATTAGAATACAAAATGAAGTGAAAAATAATTTTTAATATAACCTTTCCTAGGGAAAAAGCTTTTAGCGTAATCCCTGCTAGATTAAAATGTGAAACACAATGAAGCCATTTTAATTATGACCCAGAAATATAACTACGCTGATCGTAGTGTTCGCTGGTATGCAAGGGGGAGGCAACACAAAATGTTTAGCTATTTACTTCAATACTCATTTCTAATCGTGTTTCACAAAAGCTGAAGTTTATGACATGCATACTAGTCAATCTTTTGCAACCTTTTATTATGTGTTCAGGCTCTTCTTCAGTTGAGGTGACTCTGACGTAGTCCAGAAAGCGAAGAGATTCTAGACAGGCGATAGAATGACCTTTCAACCACAATAATCACCGTTTCAATGATAATTGAAAGAATATCTGATATAATTCAGTTTGAGATGAATGGAAAATAATCTATTTTGAGGCGAGTAAAAAGTATTAGTGTGAAGTAAAATCTGTATCGAATAACTTGGTAGCTACTGATTGTATCTGTTTTCCATATTCTTCTTTAGGCCGATGGGCAAGTTTGCCTACGCATTCACACAGGGTTTTCTTCTCTTGTACAATCTCCAAACAGACAATGTCTCCATCCAGCTCGGTAATTTGACCTGGCCTGACAGCTCTTTCCTTCCACATGCTGCTGATGTCAGTCAACATCTATTCATCGTGGTACTTGGTTATGTAGGTGATTCGAGCAGCAAGTACACGCCGTGTGCCTATTTACTAAAGATATCTGGTTTAAATTTGACTGTACTCGAGACCTGGATTTACACCCCACCAACTAGTACCTCATGGCAAGCAAGTCTTACAAACTGGAACGCAGACACCTACTCAGCGCAATACGATATGTCAGTGAGCATCAACGACGCCGAAAGTCAAGTCCTGCTCGGTATTCAAATAACAAACACTATTGTGTTGCTTAATATCAATCAAACCAGTGCAACGTTTCTGTTACCACCGTAGACGCTCTCAAACGGAAGGGGAATAGGAATGGGTAAAACAGTCGGCTGGCTCGATGACAATACTTCTCTAGTCCTAGTTAATACATATTCTCTCAGTTACGTTTGGTCAGCATCACAAATTTTTACCTATAACATGAACGCCAATCATAGTTTCACCGTTGTGTCTATTATACCGAACACTCAGCAAACATTGGTGCCTGGAATCGGTCCTATTTTAATCTCACTTGTGGGTACTCAAAGTGGTGTGATAATACTGTTAGATTCACAAGGCAATTATTACATCATTCTCCCATCACCTCTTGGTGACACTTCAGACACTAGCACTAACTTAGTTTCATCAAATTTACCATGCATGCCTGGTACTTTCAGCTTCGCTCCTAATATCCAACCGTGCTCGCTTTGCCCTGAGAATTACAGTACATTTGGCTTAACTGGTCGAGTATCCTGTGAACTATGTCCTAGTGATGCTTTTTGTCCGCTGGGAGCAGCCTTCGGAAATATCAGCGCGTCTTCTTTACTTCTTACAAGTACCAATCAAGCACCAGCCTATCCTTTGTCACCCCAGTCGGTTCAATTCGAGAATATTCTAATGGAAAATATGTTTACTATTAGTTTCTCTTCATCCAATCATTGTCTACTCGTATCACCCTTATTTTGGGTACTGATCATTATGTTATTAGGTATACTCATCGTACTTGTTATGACCATTCTCAAATACTGCGCCATTCATCCTCTAGGAAAGAAAACACGAAAGGGACTCAAAGAATTTTTCAAGCACTTCGATCTTATTGGTGAAGGTGATTTGTGGATAGGTGGTATAATTAGTTAGTTTTGCTATTATTATCCTTGCTATATTCGCCTATGTGTTCAGTAATGGCTACTTTTATCGTTATCCCATCGAAAAAATCAGTGGTAATGCTACATTTGCTCGTGATCCAACCTTATCGAACGCTCAATTCAGTACCCGTTTGATGTCTCTGGTGGTTTCTCCAAAAGTCGATGAATTGCCCATATTTGAACTTCTCAACGCTCAGCTATTTACACTGCATGTTGATTTTGTCAATACACTTTTTTCATGCATGGATGTGACCCTAACACAAATCAAAGACATAAATCTACCACTGCCAATTTCGTCCTGTAATAGCAGCGATGGCAGCTTATCACTTGCAGCTATTTTACCATCACATGGTGTGAATTTACAGTTTCTGCTCGCTGGTATCAATACTATTGGTGGAGTTCGTCTAGCCCTTGAAGGATCGGGTACTCAACAGAAGAATGACATTCTCCAGGTTAGTTACACACTTGTCGATGTCGAATTCGCACAGGCATTTTCAGCTCCTGGTCTTCTTCTCACACAACAGCCATCGCTCACACTTCAGCTCACTAAAGTGATTAATCGCACTTATCCACTTACTGAAGGCGGTCAGACACAATTGAATGGTATTTGGATGCCATACGTTTCGACTGATATCAATCAGATCTTTGTTAATGAAAATCAGTATATATATGCCATAAGTTCGAATACAATACTTTCTCTCGTCATAAGTGAGACACCATATTACGTATTAAACACGCAACAACCGATCGTCGATGAGGCCGAACTTATCTTCACGAACGTTCTATTTACCATTCTATGCATGGAGATTTTTGGTTTGATGTTACTCATTTTCAAAGTTATAATTGTCCCACTTTTCGGACGTTTCAATAATTATTATCAACGACAAAGTACGACAGAAAAGTCACTGACAAACAACTTTGATTTGTCACAAGCATCTCTTTATCGCTTTTAATATGCGCGCTTGCAAACGGATGTTTTCTGTTCTTAATGATTTTCGAATAAATCGACTGGCGGACCACAATCCTATAAAACTCGTCTTTAGCCAGACCAATGGGAGCGCGAGAGAGAAAATGTAGATGATAAGAAGAGTAGAGCATCCATCACATATGATTCTTCAATGAGTATTAGCAAATTTTATAAACAAATTTTCAGATTGCTTCGGTTCAAGGCATTCACATGCGTTTCTGATATGGTTGGCTCACTATTGTTGCACAAAAGGAGTATCATTGGAGATTGAGCTCGCGCTGGCTTGTGGGACGAGGCATCATCTCAACTCAATTAGTAAAGAACCAAGAGTTCAAAGTCTCTTGGAACGCTATTAGTGGAGGTGGGCAGTTCAAAATTCGTAGCTATCGTAGGGTCCATGTGGACTGACTTTGGAATGTTTTGTTTCTCGGTGCATCACTAATGAACTTTTCAAGTCACTACTTTCTGTAATCGCTGTTATAGTCTTTTTGCTAAAAAGCCGTACTAAATTTTATGACAAAGTCTTATGAGAGCATTTTTAGAATATGGGCGTGGGTGTTGAGCAACCTGAAATACCCCACACCCACACCCTCAAGTTCAAGCAAAATCTGGTTCTAGCTGGAACTTTTCCTATTTCTTCCAAAAATAGTTCTCTAGTAGTAAAATGTAGTCCACCACACTCAATCAGTCTAGTACTCCAGACTAATGTTTTATCCAACCATTAATTTCATATTTAATCCCTTATTCCTAACCATAACCCTTATTTCTATCCTTAACCCTTAATTCTATGTGTTATATTTACCTAGATCTGTTGTGAGTAGAATACGAGCTAGCGCTTTGTCCGTTATTCGCATGAAAGCGGCATCGCCGTTAGTTGTTGTTGAGACCATCCTAAACAAAACAAAAAAGATCAGTGACTTATATTGTAAGATTCAACTTACCATTAAATGAATTATTCGCATATACCTAAAATATCAAAAGAAACACCAATTCATTTTATCATATTAAACTTGCATTTGAATTAATTATTCATACATACCTAACTACAGAAAATCTTGAATTGATTTTATCAGATTGACATTACCTGCCTACATCGACGGGCCACCAGAGGGCAACTGGTGGCAATTGCCACACCTGAAAAAATGATTGTTGCACTTGAAAAATTATTAGTGGATACATCCAAGGGTGTCGCGACAGCTGGGGGATGAGGCAGGGGTGACCCGATCCAAATATTCAAAAATTGTCTTGCATTATATTTCACAAAATGAAATGCATAGTACCTTAAGCACAATTTTACAAATTAGCCCTAGTATTGCGAAAAGTCAAACTCAAAAATCTGGAAAAGATTCGAAAAAAAATCCCAGAAATAGTCAAAAATTCGCCAAAAAAATCCTCGAAAGCATCACAGATATTCCAGAAAAACCCTGTAAAAATGCTGAAAAGTTCTGAAAAAGTCACGGTAAATTCCGAAAAATTCGAAAACATGCAGAAAAATCTGAAAAATCCCAAAAAATCTCGAAAAAACAGAATAAATGAAGAAAAAAGCGTAGACAAAATGCGAAAAAACTTTCACAAGTAGGAAGATCTGGCAACACTGGTTATTCCCCGTCAAAATTTTTGAAAAGTAGAATTTCATAAGTTACCCAGCCGCCAGTTTTCGTTGTTCGCGACACCCCTGCATATGTCTATCTTTTTATATACATATGCCGTACCCAAAACATGGCTGTGTTTTAAAAAAATCGGTATTATTATTTATTGCCGCACCTCCATATGAGACGCTGGCCCGTCGATGGATATAAATACATTAGACCACCTCTTTTATCGATTTTTAAATTGTAAGTTTTCTTTGTAATCTTTGCTTTATTCTGCTTTAAATAACAATATTTTCTGACAACACTTCAGATATAATTCTTTGAAAAGCATTTACCAAATTGTAAAATTACTGATGTATATAATTTATTACAGTCAATACTGATAGCTTTGACTTTGCAGAAGGTAGAGAATATCTATTTAAGCACGACTAATTAATATCACATCGCTTAATCGAGTAATATTAGAGCTATGAAAGTGAAGAGAATTGCTTTCTGCTATATTTAACGGTGCAGAAAATTTTGAAATTCATTCATTAGATTAAATGCTTCTATCTTAAAAATGATTTACAATCATGGATTATTACGTAACATATTTAATCTCACAAAGACTAATAAAAACTAATTTCTTGTATAATATCCGGTCAAAATTTTCTTTACCAGTCGAAAAAATGCACAGTAGATTTTTTATAGATGAGAATTGAAAGCATAATAGACATAAATTAAAGATTTCATGATTTTAATTCAAAAACATAGTCCGCGTTTACTTCTGTAGCTGAGCATTCTACTGTTGTGTGGGATAGGGTGTTGATCCGCCTAATTATGAATAATTCACCTTTTATAAATGATTTATGAACAAATTTTATTTGAATTTAGTTGACCATTATTTTTAATTAAATACAAAAATCAAACTTCAACTTTTGCTAAAAAATTGTTTTTAATAGAATTTTCGTTTTCTTACCCAAATCAATCTTTTCGATTACCGAGTATATCTATCAATAATACGACAGATAATATACGGTGGACATATTTATAGAAGTATACAGTAATCGTAGTATAATATTGTTGTCAAACGAATGCTTTAAATTTGCATGAAATATATGAATCTATTTATTGTTACAAAAAAAGGAAATGATGCATTAAATAGAAACAGTAATAATTTTGCTATTAATAATCTATTTCTAATAATTCATGAATAAATGATTTCGGTTGTTTTTTTATCATAGATTAATTCATATTGACTTAAGTATAAAATCACCAATCAATCAGAAGACTACCTCGTGAGGCTGTTTACGATAAAAATTAAACTCAACGACTTGGTAAAATAGTTTATTTTTCTATTATACGAAACAGCCGAGCCCATGTCGTATACTATCGAATGAAACCTCATTATGAATACGAAAATTTATTTCATTATGTGTAAGATACGTCGAATAATCTGTGTGTGCGAAGGTTTTCTTTCCAGTTTAATAACATGAATAATGCATCATCGATGACTAATGCATAGTATCTAATTCATTAGAAAGCTGTTGGCAGTATGTTTGACTAACACAAAATGTATCATATCATATTGCTATTTTGTGAATTCTATTTTTTATATTTTTATTTTGCATGCAATCGTTGCGCACACTTTCGGTTGGCATGAGTAATATTTTTCGTCTATTCGTACAATGTTAACAAGCAGTTTTTTTTGTGCTGCCACAAATGCGCAATAACAGGAAAAATATATACATAAAAGAAATGAAAAAAAGAATTTTTCTTCCATCCACCGACATTTTTAAAGAAAACCTATTTCACACAAGACGTACAACAACAAAATCATGCATATTTACTTAAAAATCGCTCTACTCATGTTTTTTATTTGCACTATATCAAGCAAGCCAATTTCATCGTCTTCGGATGAAGATAACAATGAGATACAACAAGACCAAAATCGTCGTAGTTTCGACGAAATATTACGATCTAATCATCGAACTAACGCAGTAAATGATGACGACGAAAAAAGTGAATCTCAACCTGTAGAAGTAGAATCTGAAAGCGACGATGATGATGATGATGATGACAAACCCATGGAAGATGTTCGAAGGAAGAGTGAAATTACTAGTGACGATGACAATAGTGATGATTTAATTGACACTATTGAAGAAAATAAAATTGAACAATCTCTTCGAAGTATTCAAGCATCCGATGATTCAAATGACGATGATGATGAATAATCAAATAATTAAAGCAATGACAGTAAATCGAATGAAAACATTGAATGAACACTTATGGAACAAGATTTTTTTTCCAAAGTAAAGTCTCTTTTTCAAAACACGAAATAAAGTGATAAAGAAAAAAATCTACTGATGAATTGGAAAGCTCCCTGAGTGCAACAAAAACGAAACGAAACGAAATGAAATAAAAACAAAAAAAGAATTGTACAACAAATGTTCAAATAAAGTATTGCTGACTTTTTGTACTAACATCGTGTTCAAGCATTTTATCTTAGTGCACTCATCGACGTACTTGCACGTTGACTACTTGATGATGTATTTGGTTGATGTTGAGTTTGATGAACAAGGTGTTGTACAGTACCATTACCAGCTATGTCGCCACGATTCATCGAAGAACCTAATCTATCTGTTGAGTGCTGTTGAGCAACACGAGCGGCGGCTGCTTGTTGTTGCATTTGAGTTTTAAGATCATATCGATGACGAGCAAAACCACCTGCAATATGACCTATATTTATGATTATATTGAATAAGAATTTCAAGAGTAGTTAACCATTGACATACCTTGAGAAGCACTCGGCTGCAATGAGAATTGTTCAGGACCACTAACACTTTGTCCAGTTGTTTGATAAACAGCATCCATACCAGGAGCATACGTAGGGTCCATCTAAGTCACAAAATAAGTTTAAAATGTTGTGCAAAAATGAAAACTTACTTCTTTATTATATTGAGTTTGGTCTTCAACATAACTTTGATAATCATCATAATTTCCCATTCGTACCATAGGTGATCCACCTGACAATTTTGATGATTGAAGAGTTTTCATCTATTATTTGTAAAAAAAAAAGCAAAAAAATGCAAGTTAGACTTCGTTTTCTTGACTTGCTGCCATCAAACTCACTAAATATGTTGCAATCATTCCTCCTAATCCGAATCCAACTGCTACATCTTCCCAATGATTTTTATTACTTGCTAATCGCACACCACCGGCTACTATTGATAATGTGAAAATTGACAAAATAAGAAATGGTTTAACAATTCGAACACGTTCAATGCGAATGACTCGATGTAAATAAATCTATTAAGATTTCGACACTAGAAAATAAAATTTTATTTTTGAAAAAAGTGCAACATACAGCAAGAAAAACTGCGCTGTACATGGATAATGATGCATGTAATGAAGGAAATGAAAGTCTAAATTTAAAAACATTGAAAAACAAACAGTTTAAAATAATGAAAAAATGTTTTGCTAATACCGAGCTTCTCGTAATAATCCAGTCATATTTTTAGAAAGACATACGAATTCAGCATCAGTTAAACCTATAGAATAAATGAAATGTCACTTATAATCATTCAATGAATAATTGGTATACATACCCATTCCATTACATGATTTTTGATCTGGATTACATAAAGTTAAAAAGTAAGGTCTTAATCGGCCAGACATTATTTTTAAAATATCCGTTAGAGCAGTTGTTGATAGAGCGCCAAAAATAAAAACAGCTAGAAAAACAATTGAAATGTTAGATGCAATTTCAAATAAACACTGTTTCCTTCCATACATACAAAAATATTTCAGAATACGAGCTAATGATCTCACAAGACATTCTTTAAATCGAACAGTATAACGAGCTCGATAAGAACTATAGGTAATGAAAGAACGAACAAGTTCCATTATGGAAATCTATGAAATAAAAATGAATTTGTACAGTTCTGTGCTTTAACTTTAAAAAAATATAAACAATAAAGAATAGTATATTATTGATACTTACTACAATCATTGGAATGAGTAAGCACAGTATATAGAGTGTAAAATTTGAAAGAATAATATAATTTCTTTCTGTATTCGCATCTTCATAGGATTGATAATAACGAGCATCATCACACAAAAATCGTTGCTGTCGAACAGGAAATATATCCGATGCTCTATCAATTAAACGTGTACTTATTCATTATGAAGTTATGATAAATGCTTACCGAAGAAGAAAAGTTACAACAATAGTAAATACAAGCACGATAGTGTCAAGAACAGCCGTAGCCAATGCATATCGACCACCATTTCGAATATATTCAGCTGTTGCCTCAGTGTAAGGTCCACTTCTAAATAATAAAAATTCGAGAATCAAAACATTATGTTTGGTAATTATATAAAATCATACATGCGAGATCTGGTATCCATTATTATTTTAATTTGTCATAATAGTTTTTGTAATTTTTTTTTACGATAAATAAAACAAGACTGAGTTTAAAACAGAGATGAGCTAACTCACTTTTCTCTCTGTCTCTGTCTCTCTCTCTCTCTCTTTTTTTTACAAATTATACTCGTTGTCTCTGTTCAAATAGAGAATTTAGAAGAGAGTAAAAGAATGACGATGGCCGTGAAATATTTTCATTTATGCAAACATCCGTTCAATACGATTTTCTTGAGCATATGCATTCACTATGTAATAGAATTTCATGTTTATGATGAAATAGTTGTAGAGAGAACAAAGAAGACATCTGAGATTTGTTTAACATCGTCGATCCGAAAGAAAAAATAAAGCTTAAGACATTGACAAATACTGTCCATCCGATAACGAGAAAAAAAAGAAGAAAAAAGAGAAATATTCCTTCTTTTTACTTTTTCGTGTCTCGCAAAGCTCATCATTGATCACGGTAATAAGAATTTCGTTTGCTAACGTTGCGTAATAGTTAAAGAAAAGATGATCATCAACAATCCTCATCCGTTTTAATGGTAAAAATCAAGGTGTACACATACATTCATACAATAATTAACAATCTGACATGTTTGAATGTTTTTCTTGACTTTTAAAATCATTGAAATAAGAAACAACATAATTCACGAAAATAGTTTCAAACACCACTAAAAGCTGTATGTAGAAGATACTAGAATTTCTTGAATAGTTTTATAACTATTTAATTCAAACGTATTTAAAAATATTAATTTATAAATTTACTGATTGGAAAACACTATCAAAAAAAACGAAGTGTTCTGCTCTATTTATAATTCTACACAAAGGATATCATTTTTTCTTCAAAAAAGTTCTAAATTGATTTTTATTTTCAATCATGAAAATACGTCATAGAATCTCATTGCAACAGTCAAGTTTCCACTTCGAACTTTAAGAGTGCTATGTATATTTCAAGAAATAAAAAGTGATCTCACAATCAATTTTCTCATATCCAACATTTGAATTGATCATAAAGCATAGAATATTTTTTGAGATGTATCAATAACGAAGCGATATCGCATGATAACACGCTTGTAATCAATACAACTGATAGTTAATTGTTTGAACAATTGGAAAAGCTATATACATTTTCGAAGTCATGGAATAGCATCTAACCAAAAACTTATAACACATAAAGTGACAGTAAATTTACACTAGTAACATCTTATGGTTTTCTCTTAGAAACAACTGATAAAATCTAATTAGTATGAAATAGAAGGTTTATTTGAAATTTAGCTGTGCTACAATTAATTCACAAAAATAGTATTACTAGGATATTTTGTATAAATATTAAAAAAAAAACGAAATGATGAAAATCAGAAGTGCAACATTGTAGGCTAGCTTTAGATTAGTCCGAATTCCACAAATAATACGTCGACAAAAATAATTTCTACGCCACTATTTTGAATTCATCGAAAATCATCCGTAAAAAAAATAAAAGCTGAATCGCTTCTGCCAATTACTTCGAATCATTTTTATAAATTTTTTCATTAAATTGTTATAAAATAAAACTAGCTAACGCGTGCTACTGTTTTTCTTCTACCTCATTATATTTGTTTCGATTTTGATAAGATTCATAGGCACCATATATAATCATAACCAGAAAAAAAAACATACTTCATGTGAAAACATTGTTTAACGTAAACATTTACATGTATTTTTGTTTTGTTCAGTTTTTAACTGATACAAATTAACATTGTTTCAGAAGAAAAAAAGCATAAAGTATATCAACAAATCCAAACAAACAGAAAAAAAGACAAGTCAATACACACTCTTTTCTTTATCATCGTATAAAAAAATAGAAGAATAAGATCGCTATACAACCAGATATATGTAGAACAACACAGCGAAAAAAATAGGAGTCTTCGTTTGTATCATATCAGACGATAGTTTTATTACTTTAAATACATCATAAAAAAAACGTTGAAGATGAATCATTATTTAACACCTTTGGCTGCTAATTCTTGTCGAACCCTAAATAATTAAAACAAGAACAGAAGTTAAAAAAATTAAACTTTAATGAACTCGATTTACCGATTAAGATAAGTCTTATCAGGATAGCCAAAACTAGAAAAGGAATATTGAAAAAAAATTAATTCAATCAATGAAGAATAAAATCAATTTAATCAAATAAACAGTTCTGAAATTAGCAATGCAAATATAATTGCAAACTTACTTTTCTACTCCACCATTAATACTTGTTTTATGATGAATATCATTCCAAGTAATGACATTATCATAACCTGTTGTTCGAGATTGACCAACGGTAAAGGTTTGTCTCAATTCAAAAGCTCTTTGCAATAAAGCAAGTACTTGACGACCTTCACGATTATCAGGCAAATACGCTTGACGAGTTGTTCCATAATATGGCATACCTGGATTAGGATGACTCTCCTTAAAAACAAAAATAAGACAACAGATCAAAATTAGCAATTCACTTTATTTCTGGAGTCTTACATCTTGAATTCCATGAGGAAAATGATATGTTATTCTAATAGTACCACGTGAATCATGTTCAAAGCCGAGTAGACGATGTTTAGATGTATCAATCGTCATGGTACCATTGGTTGGCTGATTTCCTGTAAGACAATGAAATGAATAAAACGAAACTTGACATGGAAAATCGCATTTTATACCACGAATTTCCCCATAAATAGTGAAACAGCATGGGCACTGAGGTTTGATTGTTTCGAAATAACGATCAATACAAGTTCTACAGAATATATGACTACATTTATTAAGTTTTTTCGGTTCGGTACAATCATCCAAACAAATAGCACATCGATCTACTTCTACAGAAAGAACAAGTTAATAATAAGAATCTTTAAAAAAAACGTTTTGGTTGCACTGATATTCACCTGTTATTTGTATAGATTCGTCTTTTGATGAAATTACTTCAACTTCATCGTCATCATCATCGTCATCATATACGATTTCTTTTTTTTTCTTTTGATTTAATGTCCTAGATGGTACAGAATCTAATCGAGCTCGTTTTTTTCCTTGTAGTGTAATTAAAGAATTATCAATATTTGGAGATCCATGGCTTGTAGTAAATACCTTAAAATAGTTTAAAACAATGCCTTATCACAATTTTTTTGATCTCTTTTTAAACATACAGTTGTATCAGATATTTTTTTATGATTTCTTTTACGAATTTCATTTGTTGTTTTAATATCATTTTGAATCTGAGTAGAAACGGATAATAAAGAATTTGAAGGTATCTGACGTCTTGTTACACATTTTCGAGTACTAGATCGACGATGATCTGGCATATTCTTAAGTAGATTCGATGAAATACAAACTTTCCATTAATTAGATATTAGTGTTAGTCGACAAGACAAAAGCAAAACTGATGATGATTCATGAAAATATATCATTGGCTAATTTTTTAACCATTGCTATTCATTATTATGATGAAATTTTGAAATATTTTTCTATAATACTATTTTTTTTATTCCTCATTATATCGGAAAGAAGAATTCTGAAAAATAATTTTAAGACTAAACACGTAATTAAATTGATGATGACAAAGCTTTCCCGGTTTTACCCAACGAATAACCAGCTACGACCAGTGTTTTTAATGATTAGTGTACTCCAGCAGAACAAAGTGTACGTAGTACGTACACTCTATTTTTCAGAATACACTTTGTTTTCCTATGAAGTACACTCTGAAAATAAAATTTTTGGCTTAGTAGGGTGTACATGTACACTGTGCTTCGAAATCCTATTAGAAATACTGACTACGACTACAGCTGTCTCATTTATCTTTTCCACATAGTTATTTATTTCTATCGATTGACATCTTTTTGTGCAACATTTTTTCGGTTGAATAGACCTATTGATTCGTTTCAGATGATCCGAAAGCCAAAGCAACGTAATTTACGTGGTCGGACGGAGATTGATAATGTTGAAGAAGATCATTCAAATGTTCCAAATTCTCAATCGGCTGTTGTGAATGAACAAAGTGTAGAAACAAAAATTGTAGTTAAGAAAGTAGATGTACCAAAATCTTTATTAAGTTTTGGTGACGATGAAGGTAATTATTTGTGAATAGAGATTTATTTTTCTCCTGTTTAAATAACTCATTACCATTATCATTTTATTTGAAAAAAAAAGGTGACACTGAAGAGTTTAAAGTTAATAAAACACGCGAAAGTCGAAAAATGACAAAAGAATTAAAAAAACAACAACATCAATTGCTTAATACATCGATCGATTCGAAAGTGCACGTAGTTACGCAACCGGCAACAACAACAACATCAGCTGTGGAAGAAATAATTACACCTAAGGAAGAAAATAATAATACTAATGGTGAAATTGAAATAAAATGTATGTGTAAAGAAGTTTTATTTTTTGGCTATTCCTATATCTTTTATTGTTCTAGTTAAACCTCTTCAGATTATTGCAAATAAATCTTCAACAAATTCATTTACAAGCTCCAATACTGACTTACAGGTAATTAGTATTTTGTTTTTGTTATATACATAGATTTGTAATGTTATTGTTTCTCTTAAGCGTCTTCGAAAAGAAATGAGAGTACTCAATGGACCAGTAGGAGATGTTCCAGATATAGATGATATTCAAGGGGTTTTTGAAGGCAATGATGATGATGATGATAATGTACTTGATGATACACAACGTTCAGTCAAAGTTATGTTAAGAAGTAAATTAATTAAATATTTTGAAATGATTTCTATTATTTAAGCTTTGTTTTTCTCATTAGGTGGTGTTATTCCAGATTCCACTATGATACACGCAGCACGTAAACGACGTCAAATGGCTCGAGAAATGGGTGAGCCCGGTGATTTTATTTCACTAAGTACTGAAGCTGAAAATAGTCGAAAATCACGTTTAATACGGTATGAAAGTTATTCTTATATAATTAGAATCGGATATTTTTTTTCTTCTAAAATTTAGTGATGATGAAAATGATGGTAGTGATGATAGTGCAACTGAAGATCCACATATCGTTAGTATGGATAGAAACAAAACAAGAGCTGAAAACGAACGTCAAAAAAATCGAGATCGATTTTTAGAATTAGAACAAGGTTTATAAACATTAGAAATATATTTCGTTCTTTCTTTTTAGAACATAAATAATCAAACTATTTTTTCATAGGAAGTGATAACGATGAAGATGAAGAAGAATTCCGTCGATTTGAACATGAACAAATTCGCAAAGGTGTTAGTTCGAAAATCACTGGAATGTCAGCAATCAAAAAATTGGCTTCCTCTTCTTCCAAACCTCAAGTCGGTGTTATTCGTCGTAAGACTTTCTCTTGCGCTCTTTCTTCAACTCATCTATAGGGCCGTACAAAAAATTATGCTGCTTAAGCAATTAGCCAAAACATTAGAGAGAAAAGTATAAGCGAAATCCCTATAGAGTTCACAATATGTAACAGAAAATTTGCTTCATTATGGCTACTTTGAAAGACAGTTTTTTCATCAGTCGACTGCTGGATCTTTCAGAAATTCAACGAGGAAGAAGCTTATATGTGATATTTTATCAGATGTCAATGTCTATCTCACACGAGGGGAGAATGATAAGAGGAAGTCAACATTTTTATTTCTATTCCTCTCGGAAATCGTATTTGATACCGTAGAAAAAAAAAAATCTTGACATATTTATACGATAAAATAAAACGATATTAATATTTCGAGGCCGAAAATGTTTTATTGTTACAGTCGACACAGAATCAGTTGTAAGAGAAATAAAAATTGATATCACTCAATCAATAAACTAAGATACTTCTGATCAACAACTCTTTTCAGCATTAATTTTGCATAACTATTTCTCAGCAAAAATTTGATTGGTGCTTTTGATCATTCAAGTGTTAGACGTTTGTGCTCTCATTCTATGGTGCTTTTCTAATGTAAATCAGACCAATTCGTTATGAGCATCACTAGGCTCAATGAGAACTAAATTGTTCAATAGAAAGAACAACAAATTCACATATTAACTTTGTAAACAATATTTTTAAATGAATCGATAATTTTTCCCAACATTAATACAAGGCATTTATTTATTACTTTTCTCATGCTCGATTTCGCTTCATTGTACACTAATCATTTTGGTCATAGGTTAATTTGATCGATCTCTGAAAATAAAGTATTGCATGTGAATCAGAAGTTCTTTGTATTATCTAGAAATGTCCGAGAAGAGATAATGAAAACTCACTCGTCGAAAAAACGAGATTAAGAGAATTTTTGTTTGTAATAAGTACGCTTTTTTCTTGTATTTCGAATCTTTATTATAAAACGATAAGTTTGCCGCTAAACAGCCTAAAAGAGATAGATAGAACTTTCTGACTAAAACTAATAAAAAGATTAACCTTTTGTTTTTCTATTTTAGCTGTCTCACCTACAAACAGAAAATACTTCTTCATCGCTGGTTGAGCCACAGCCCATGGAAGTAGAAATAACACGAGAATTACCTCCACTTGAATTGCCAACTATTACATTTGATCATATTCGAGATCGTTTACGTGATTCGTATGTTTTTAAAATTTATTCCTCGTTTACTTCTTTTTTGTTTTGTAATTTAGATTAGATTCAATAAAAGAATCAAATGAAAAACATAAAGTTGATTATGAAAAGATAACTCACGCGTATGAAGCTAGTCAAGTATCATTAGAACAAAATACAATTGATTATCCAAAAATGGAAAAAGCATATCAATTTTATCAACAATGTCGCGCTTATGTATATTCACTTATTGAGTGTTATAACGAAAAAGTATTTTAGAAAAGAAAAGTTCGATAAGGAAAATCTGTTAACTTTTATTCTATTATAGATGATAACTATGATTAATCTTGAAGATCGTTTGTTACAATTATATAAACAGAGAACAGATATGATTGTATCTCGTCGACAAGAAGATTTCAAAGATCAATGTACAGAATATTCAATAAGTAATGAAATTAAATCGAAAGAAAAATAATAAATAGAATTTTAATAATTTAATTTGTAGCAAAAGCAACAGCATTTATCAATGGCACTTTACCAACGAATGATTTTCGAACACCTCTCGATCAAAAACGACAACGTCGAGCAACTGAACGTGAAGCTCGACGGTATTTAGAATTCATAAAAATCAATTAATTATTTTCGTTTTCTGCTTTCTTAAGTTTACGAAGAAGAAAAGATCGTGAACAAACATCAGCACAGCACTTCGATGGAATGTCAACCGACGATGAAGAAAATCAATCAGATATTAATTTATTTTTAAAAACAAAACGTAAAGCGAAAAAGATAACCTAATTTCAATTGTTGTGTATCTTTCTTTTTTATTGTAGAAGAGATTCTGAATGAAGCTGAACATTTACTTGATGATGTTTCTGACGAATTTTCTCAATATAAAAATGTAAAGCTAATATTTGAACAGTGGAAATATCAACAGAATGAAACATATACAGATGCTTTTATTGAAATATGTTTACCAAAAGTGTTTTCACCATTAATACGACGAGAAATTCTTGATTGGAAACCATTTGAAGTAACGATTTTAAAACAGTGAAAAAACAAATTTTAATATGAATTTTCATAGGTTACCTTTCGAGCAATTGAAGATTATCAATGGTATCAAGATTTATTATTTTACGGTGTAAAAGATGGATATAATGAAGCTGAAAATTTTCAATTTATACCATTAACTATTGAAAAAGTGATTCTACCAAAACTAACAAGTAAGACAACTTGAAACCATTCATTTCTATATCCAGATAAAAAAGAAGTTTTCCATTCTTTTCTTCTGTTGAAATAAAGATATTTGCATCATTAAATGATAGATTCAGATTTCATAAAATAGCTTTATTTCAAATCCTAGCAAAATGAATTATTTATTGAAGTTTTTTCGATGTTATGTTCGTGAACATCTTTCGATAATGTTTGATATACTCGCTTTTTAGTCATTTTAAAAACAATGCAATTTTTAGCTGATGACTTATAATTAACTTTCAAGAAAATATATATCTATAATTCCTTTTTTGATTAAAGAAGAAACAATGGATGAAATTTCTTGTCTGAGAATAAAAACTGAACAAGAAGTATTTTTAGTCGGTTTTGCAATACATTTCTTATACTGCTATTTGATCGAATAAGGAAAATTTTCTATTATGAACAAATATCATGAATGAATAACCAAAAAATCTGTTTAAATAAAACATGACTTTAGTTTTCTATTATCATATATCATTTTTAACGATATATGATTAAATCATGTACTCCACCATAAGCATCATATTGAAACATAAAGAATAAGACATATTGACAAGTCTTGTTCTTAGAATTGAACATGAAATTCTTTTCAAAAATGTATATCTATAAATAAAATATTGACATATTGATTCATTTAGGTATTATCGAAAATATATACGATCCATTGTCAGCCAAACAAACAAAAAGTCTTGTTAAAACAATCGAAAATATATTTCAAACATATCCAACAATGACTGATGATTGTAAAAATGTTCAAGTAATAAATAGAAAAACAAAAATGTTTTAATAGTCTAAAAGTTTCTTGTTTCTATTCTATTTTACAGATTCTACTTAAAGCGATTGTCGATCGTTTACAACGTTCATTGGATGACGATATTTATATTCCGTTATATCCAAAAGAAATCATTGCAATTGGCTCATCAAGAATATCATCAAATAATTCAACAGTGATTGCAACAGAATTTTTCTTTCGTCAATATTGGACATGCGTTAAACTATTGAGTAATATAACATCGTGGTCGCAAATTCTCTCGTTAAAAACAATACTTGACTTATCTATCGATGGTCTTCTGAATCGTTATATATTAATAGCACTAAAAAATATGGATTTAACATCAAACGAAATGATCACACGTTGTCTTCTATTGGCAAAATGTTTTCCAATAAAACAGTGGTTAGATAATAATAATACAATTTTGAATGATCAATTAAAAGATGCAACATTACCAGCATTAGAAAATTTTTGTTTATTTTTAAAACAACTTGCACAAGAATATTCAACACAATTTTTTAGTGCAAATGAAAAAGATAAAAAAATGTATAAGTAAGACAAGAATAACCAACGATATTTTTTTATGATCCTAAATAATTTTCTTTCGATTTCAGAGAAAATATTCGTCAAATTCGCATTATTTTTGTGCATCTTCATGCATTGGATCATGCTCTTGAACTTACAAATGAATATGAGATTAAATAAAAACAATTTTTTCCTTCGTTTGTTTCTGTATTTGTAATAAACTTTGTTTATCGGAAAACGATTTCGTTCTTTGTGCATTTCTAGATCATTAAGTTTTTCTTTTCTCTGACAGTAAATCAACGTGTGTTTATTAACACTATGGGTAAGTGAAAACAACTTCTTAAACGAAAAAAAAATGAAGAAAAAAATTAATGAAAATTTCAGCTGCTTCAAACGGAACATCATTTCTTTTGTCACTTCTTATTGCGCTGTTGTTATTTGCATCAATGCAATTGTTTCGTACACATATTTCAGCAAGTCAACCGATGACAATTGCAGGTGGTTTTATGGGTTCATTGGTTTTTGTTTCACTCCTGACGGTACTGAAATAAAAACGATAGCATATGCTTTTAATCAAAGAGATCATTTTTTAAAGGCTGTGAGCAATTTCGAAATGAATCTGTTTGGACCCAATTTCCAAGCACGAGTCTTTCCAGAAGGTAACATCTATTTCTGTGATTAAAATTATTTTCTTATGGAAAAATACATTTTAGTTTTGACTTGTTTATTTATTTCAATGATATGTTGTGCTTTTGTTCATCGAGTTTGTGTAACAACTTGGTAAGATTATTTCATTTCTATTAAATATATACATATGAACTTGATGTATCGTATCAGTTTAATAAGACTTCGTACACAGTTTATCGGATCAAATATCAATTGGAACAATGAACATAGAACTCAGTTTTGTGTTTTAGGAAAATAATCGCATTGTTTTGTTAGGGGCATATCAGTGAACGTAGTTCATTTTTTTGATTCTCAAAATTGAGTACAGAGTAATCAGGGGAAACATTAATGGTACGCACTTATTGCTTTGTATGATCTAATCAAATTTTGCTAGTTAGAACAACAGTTAATAATTGCAGTACTATATATATTGTTTATTCTGCGTCGTTTTTTGCTCATATAATCTTACGTCATAACAGAACAAAAGACATTCTAAAGAAAAAGTCACTAAACTTTAATAGCCTGCTAAGTAGTCGACTGAGTTTTTATATATTGGCATAGACTATTGAGAAAACATAGTAACATACTCAAACAACCGATAAATTACCATATTATTAGTGTTGAACTTTCATGGTACAAACGATCGATTGCTTCGATACGATGAACTTCTAAATTGACTCCTCAGAATAAGTAACCTTGAAGAATATTGATCCACTTCTTTTTATCTTAAATTGTCATATTCACTGAAACCTAGACAGAGATATTCCAAGCAACAGTTTTCGAACTCCACATTTGGTTGATCAAATATTTTAAATACACTTTTGATATTTTAAACTACTAATTGTTGACTTAGTTCGAACCAAAAGAAAATTGCCAAGCCTACATCTAGAATTGGCAGATAGAATACGTATAATGTTTCGAAATCGATTTTTCTCGATCGAACTTGCTGATATTATGCATGACGTTGTGCAGATAAGACATGAAATTAGATTGCTGGAATATTTTCACTGTATGTTTGTACTGAAAAACAACGTACCTGAAAAATTCCTTTTTTTTTCGTAAAATATTCTTAGGTCTTCGTAAAAAAATCACTTTCAATTTCATTGCTTAAATGTTGTTATTTTCTACAAGAAATTTACTATTCTCAATAAAACCAAGAAAAAACATATTTTGTTTTACGAGCGAGATTGGGATACAATTTTCCAATTCTACATAAACTATTAAGTCAGATGAGGCAAAATTTTGAAGTGAGTGTCAATATTCCCAAGTTCGAACATAGCGATTTACTATTTGCATGAAATGAAGATTGAACTTTGTCGAAGCGTGAATGTGTTACACGTGAGCAAATTAACTGTGTAGAACACAATAATAAAATGATATAACAGAATAGTGAATAATAAAAATATCTAATCATATGAAATTCTGGCCTTCTTGTATCAAAATATGCCAACAAGTAACAATGTATAAAAACTTTTCAGTTCTGTAATAATAATGTCAGATAGAAAGAAAATGATTAAGACCACATTAATCAATTTGATCTTTCGCTTTTTCTCATTGAAAGACTACAATAGAATCGGATTACGAATGGAAAAAAAACTTATTATTTAATTCTTTTGAGACTAAAAAGATCAAAATATTGATTAATGGTTTTGAAAATGACACTTTATAAAGTGCCTAATGCCTTTTAAATGCATAACACCCCTAAGTGAAAAAGAAAAAATGCTTAGTAAATTATAAATTTAGACTGTTTTTATTTTATGAAAAATAACAATTATTTTTATTCTAGCATCATCTTTTCATTGATCGCTCTCTATTACATCAATCGCATTTCAACAACAAGTTATGGAAATACAATGGGATCGACAACTGGTTATGCTATACAAAAAAAACAAAAATAGAGAACTATTCATGTGAAATTTTCATTTCACTGTTATAATTATTACTATTATGAGTCTATGTTATTACTGTTTGTTCTTTTAAATTATCATCTCTTTATTATATATTCATTCTAGGGTAACTTTGTGAGTCTGTTATTCTCTATTCAATTAATCTGTTCTTCTTTTGTTACAAATAATGAAATGATTTACCAATAGAATTGATTTCTCTTTTTTTTTGGTCAGAATGAAATCTGCGGTTTTCTTTTTATTTTATGGGCGTTAATGATTAATCACATGTGCTAAATAAATTGCTAGTACTTTCTTTGTGCTTTTTTTTCATTGATAATCTTTTTAACTTCAGTTTCAAATTATATGTTACTATCCTCATATTGACACCTGGTTTTTATAAACAGAAATCTTATTTCTTGAGTACATCTATCCCCAAAATTTTTGTTTGGCTATGAGAATACCTTTTTTTGTTTCTTTTATTATACAAAATCTTTTCTTTTCCTAGCTTGTCTATACTTCACCAAAAAAAAAAGAGCTGAAACATTCGTTCCCTTAGAAAAAAAGAACAGTCTGTCTCAGATACGAATAAGAGCAAAAAGAAAAAAATTTAGAAGTAAAAACAAAGAAGATCATTATCAATAAAACTATTATCGCAGGAGTATAGGTATCTTTTTAAACTTGTGTTTTCTGCCAACTTCTAAAACTTGCCTGTCGTCTCATAACTGGTTTAAATTGCATTTGATTAGTAACTGTAAAATTGTTTAATATTGAAATAGTTAGTAAACAAAGAAGTAAAACGTGAGTAGAAAACATAACCTTCTAATTTAGTGGTGTAGAATGAAAAAAAAGAGATGAGCGTAGGAGCATCAAAAGAAACATGTTGTTAATTATTTAAAGGTCTTTATATGTATGTGCGTCAGATTAAAATAGTTGATATTAAAGCAAAACATCATAGTCATTCTATTGTCTATTTTTAGATTTTCAATAATAATGTCATTTCATTGTAGTAACGTTAAATTTATACAAATAAAAAATAAAATAATGAAAGTCATTTGAAAATAAAAACGAACCAAAGTATTTTCTAAATACTAGACGAATGTTATACTCGTACGGTAGGCATCATTCAATTTTAACATCAGCAACTTCTCATGAGCAAGATCAACAATTATCACGTTCTAATCATCGATTATATCGTTATAATCATGAACCAGTTTCATCGAATTTACTTAGCCGAGACATTTCATCAATACTCATTTTATTATTTTTTCTATTTCTTCTCATTATATCATTATCACAAATTCTTGTTGTTCATACATCACGCTATGGAGCGAATTTTTCAGCAATGCAAAAAATCCAAGAAGAACTTAAACAAATGGACGAAAGTATGGAAGCAATCTTACGTGATAATGTTTTACCTATAGATAAGTGGCGTCTTCTGTTTCAAATTCAAGCATATCTTTTTCGATTTGAATTATTATTTGATACATTTAATAATGATTCCAACTTAATGATAAATGAAATAGCAAATAAAAATATTAATCAAGCAAAAACAAATATAAGCATGAAAAAATTATTAAAACCATTATTAAATAAATCAGATAAGTTATTATTACAACAGAATAATAGTGATCATTTAACGAATCATATAAAACGTGTACAAAACCAATTAACAGCATTAATTGATAAAGATAAAAATTATCAATGGAACGATCATAAAACGAAACATAAAGATCTAAATAGTAATTTTCATAAACGAAAAAAGAATTATTGCCAAGAAGAACCTCGTGATCTACGTAAGTTAAAACGCCGCGAACAAATCAATATTTTATTATAATTCTTATTCTAGGTGGTCGATTTCTTGATGAAAATTCAACTTTTCCAAATGTATCATTGTATGAAATAGAAACAAATTATTCTAATGTTAAATCCGGAGGCCAATGGTCGCCACCACATTGTATTGCTCGTCATAGGGTAAATTATTAGCTGATCTATATATATATATATTGTGGTAAAAGATTATTTATTTTGACAAAAAAAAAATATTATCTTCTCTCAGGATATATATTACGATAGAAAGAAGAATATCAGTAAGTTTTGTGTCCGAAAGATTGCTGCTATTTATTATTATTGAATCTTTAATTCTTAGAAAAATACTAAACTTTAAAAAAAAACTAAATTAGAATTATAAACAGTTAATTACAGAAATAAAATTGAATATCGTTTGCTTTAAATAGGTAGCGATTATTATTCCTTATCGAGATCGATATGAACATCTAGTAACATTACTCTATTATTTACATCCAATATTTCAACGACAAGAACTTGATTATAAAATTTATGTATCTGAACAAACAGGGAATGGAACATACAATAAAGCCGTATTAATGAATGCTGCTTTTATATATGCATATAGTGAATATGATTTTCAATGTTTCGTCTTTCATGATGTTGATTTAATACCAGAAGATGATCGTAATATGTATTCATGTCCAATTTTTCCAAGACACATGTCTGTTGCTGTTGATGAAATGAATTATAAGTAAGAAGAAATGAAAAAGAATTCTTTTATTGAATTAATATTTTGAATTTTTACTTCAAGATTAACCTATGAAGAGCTTATTGGTGGCGTATTTAACATACGACCTGATCATTTTTTAACAGTTAATGGTTATAGTAATCTCTATTGGGGTTGGGGAGCAGAAGATGATGATCTTTATTATCGGTGAGAAAACAATATTTCAAATTAAACTAATTCATGTGGAATTTTTAGATTAAAAGAATTATCTATAAAAGTCATTCGCCCACCTGCTACGATAGCTCGATATAAAATGTTAGCACACACTAAACGCGTACCATCTGTATGGAACAAACGGTATGTGTAGATCAGTTGATTTTGCGTATAACCTCGTTGTTTTCTTCTTTAATCTATTTTATTTAGAGCTAAATTACTTTATTCAGCAGCTAAACGTTATGCATGGGATGGTGTGTCGTCTGCTCGATACAATCTCACGTCTGCTATAGCATATCCATTATTTACGCATCTTTTGGTCGATGTTGGTCTACCGCCACCTGGTTTCAGCTAATATTACTATTTGCTTTCGTTATACCTGTCGAATAAAAAGCATGCAGTGACTTTCACTTCTATCCATATCTTTTTATATCAAAATATATTTTCAAGTGAAATATTCGGTGTTTTCTCTTTTAGAAGAATTGTTTTGATAATATTTATCTACATGTTTTATTTTTCACTCCGTTTTACAAGTGCAATAATTAATTGAAAAAACCACAATAACAAAATACATCTAGATATTGATATGTTTTCTTTTTTTTCTTTTTTAAATAGTCATTTATTTGTTTTTTCTTGCTCGATGTTGTGCTTGCATACGTCATTGTCCTTTTTCTGCTTTGTTACACGTTAAACTCGATATAATTGCGAACAGAATATAATAGACGAAGATTCAGTTAGTTTTCATTGAATCCAACTCGATAGTTTGCGATTGGTTCGTTTTTATATTTTTTTAGTTGTACCCACAGCCGCGAGATTTACAGCTGTATTACATTGCAATTCTTTTTGTCTATGATGTTAAATTATTTATAAAGATTTATATCGATCTTGATGAAAAAAAGGGTGAAAAATAAAAGATAATAGAGTCATTTTTTTCCATTTAGATCAATTAAAGACAAATGTTTATACTTTCGGATCTTTATCGGGTTTCAATAGGTGTTGGCAATCGAGTATTAACACCTCGTATGAAACAGGTACTTTAAAGTGTCATTTTAGAATAGACTTGAAGTTTCATTTCTTCTTATTAAATTTAGATTGTCAAATGGTAAATAAATAAATAAATAAAAATAAATAATCTTATCTGATTCTTTTCGTTTGATAGGGATCATCCGGCTGGAATGAAATATATTCATTTTTGGGCTCCACTTATGAAATGGTCGTTAGTTGGAGCTGGATTTGGTGACATGCTTCGACCAGCCAATAAACTTTCACTAAATCAATCGATATCTTTATTTGCAACTGGTGCTACTTGGAGTCGATATTCAATGGTCATTGTACCAAAAAATTATATGCTTTTTGCTGTCAATATATTCTTGGCTTTCGTTGGTGGACAACAAGTTGCTCGTATAGCTCATTATCGTTATACACACTTGGAAACGCCGAATGAGAAGGAAAAACAAATCTAAAATAGTTTAAGAGCGACTCAATCAATTATGATCAAATTTATGTATCTTATCTCTGCAGTAATCTTCGTCAAAGTCATTTTAAACAAATTAATAAAAAGCGTGTTTTTTTAATTAAATTATTTTTTACTTATATCATAGCATGTAGTAAATTTCAGATCAAGCAGCTATGTTTATCTTATCAGATGTTTATCGTATGTTGATCGGTATTGGCGATCGAGTTTTGTCGACGTCAATGAAAAAAGTCGTTAAATGGGATCACCCAGGTAAATTAATTTCATGAATGATTCAATTTAATTTTCATCAATTCTAGCTGGTCCAAAATATGTGCATTTTTGGTCGCGTAAGTATTTATTCTATTTGAATTAATATTCCAAATTAATTGTATTTATTTTCAGCCGTTATGAAAAGCTCCTTAGTTATGGCTGGTATTGGAGATTTAATGCGTCCAGCTGAAAAGCTTTCATTAAATCAATCAATTTCACTTGCTGCTACAGGATTAATCTGGTCTCGAGTATGTTTTCGTTATATTGTCTATACTAGTTGGTATTTGTTTCTTTTATTTTTATTTTTTCAGTATTGTATGGTCATAATACCGAAAAATTATTTTCTTGGTCTGGTCAATTTTGCTCTTGGTTTAACCGGTCTTCAACAATTGATACGTATTGCACACTATCATCATACACATCCAAAGGAATTAACAAAAAACTAATTGTTTGTATTGTATTTTTTCACTCCAATCATATTTAGTTTCTAAAATGTGTGAGAAGAAAACGTTTCTCTTTTTACATTTCCATGTTATTGTAGTGTGACCTTCAGTATTAGATAAGCAGACATCCGTATGGTAATCGTTCCTATTAAAACGCAGATGTAGAAGAACACAATATCCCAATTTTCATTTTAGATGTCTATCATAGCGAGAAAAAACCTATTGAAACTAGCATGGAATATTCAATTGAAATGTGTACGACATCATCGTGTTATTCCAATGCCAGATCCAATGCCCTATACAACAGCTATATGGAGAAAAAGATATCCGTATAGACATAAAACACAATTTGAAGTTACGCATGACGAAGTTTATACGAAAGATATGGAATTAAAAACATTAGAAGAACGACGTCAAGGTAAAAACAATCGATATGTTCTTGAATTGTTATTTTTTTTCTTCAATATTTTACATTTTTTAAAGAATTCGACCCTCAACCAATACGTGTTGATAAAGTAAATATTGGTTTTTTATCACCCACGAATCCTGTTTCTACATCAGAAAGTCGTAAACGTTTTGAACATTATGCTAATCAACGAAATCGAGCTGATTTAAAAAAACTACATTACGATGGTGCTCGTAGGTGTTACGGAAAGAAATATTTTACAAAATTTATTACTCATCCTTTCTTTTTTTCCCCGCTTAAGTTCGACTTCCAATCGATGAGGTCCATGATGATTGGTTGTCAAGTAGATATTTTTCCGAAAACCTTCGCATGATTGCTGATCACTACGGTGTTTTTGATGATTTGTTCAAGCATGGTTATTTTGTTCCTCGTATACCATTAAATGTAAATTATCCGTACGATAATGATCAAGTTACACCTATTTATAGTGGAAACCGACTTTATGCGAAAGATGTAAGTTAGTCACTTAAAGATTTTGTTTTTCTACAAAATATTTGCAGGCAAGTGAAAAACCACAAGTTAAATGGAAAAGTACAAATGAGTCAAATGAATATTATACACTAATATTTACAAATCTTGATGGACATTTGAAAGAAGATAATGCTGAAGTTCTTCATTGGTTTGTGTATGTAGATGCAAACTGGCATTTACATTCGACGTATATTTATTATTCTATTTAAGAGGAAACATTCCTGGAAATCAAATTGATAAAGGTGAAACTCTATGTACATATTTGCCTCCATTTCCTCCTAATGGCAGCGGATGGCATCGATGCGTGTTTTTGTTATATAAACATCAAAATGGGCCAATTAATTTTTCAGAATTATATGGACTACTTCCTGAAAATAGGTACTTGCATTGATACTAAAAATCATTCATGAATCTTATATGGAAATTGATCAGTAGTAACTATATTCTATGATTTCTTACCATTTAAAACTGTTCAAAGTAAACTTTTGCTATGAATTACAGAGATAATACAGACAGATTATTATCTCAATAGACGATTCACTTATGTGAATAATTCAAAGAACTTTTGGAACTTCTGCAATTCAAGAAATTGATTGAACTTTAAAAAGTGTGTAGATATTGAATACAAATATTGATACGGCTCTCGATGCATCCAATAGTTAAATGAATATATAAATCCATAAAACTCATACTAAATACGCATGTTTTGTTACAACTCTTTGGTTTGTTTTCTGCGCTCTAAAACTTTTCTGAGTGCTTTCCATGTTACTTAGCTGTATTTGATCAGTGCTCTTTGTTTTTAAAATTAATATTTTTAAAATTCGGAATACTTAGAAAGTCATAGTTGATGAAATGTGGACGTTTCTCTCTGAAAGATACAGATTATTTAAGAATAAGTTTGGATTTTATTTTGTTTATTTTTATAAATAAAATTTCATTGATGAATAAAATGTCTTTTATATTATATAATATTTATTTTTAGTGTTAGTCTTGAAAAACGTACTTTTCGTACTTTTGATTTTTTCAATAAACTCTGTTCGCATCTACGACCGATTACCTTAGCTTTCTTTCAAGTTGCATGGGATACGAGTGTTAAAAATATATTTCATAATATATTAGGTAAGCTTAGTAAATTTAACAATATTTGTTTTTCTCAAATACGTAATTATCTAGGTATGAAAGAACCTCGATACGAATTTGATTTTGAACCACGATATTTACCTCCACAACAATTCAGCGTTGAAATGGCACCATTTCATCGTTATCTTGAACAATATCGCGATCGAAAAGATGTTAATGAAGAAGTTATTAAGCATTATTTAAAAATGACATGTCCATTCAACGGTTATCCTAATGTGCCAAAATATCCATTAGCAGCACCTAATGAAAAATGGGTACCTGACTGGTATAAATATGAATTAGTTAAATATCATAAACGACAAGGAAAATGGAAGATGATGCCATTCTAGTCTGATTGAAATTTTCTTGTTTTTTCTTGTTTTTTTTTATAAATAAAAAATAAAAAGCCATGTTAGGATATCAGCACATGTGTTGCTCAGTGGTTTATTTCAATTAGCAAAGTTATCAATTAACTTTTACTAAACTGATCACATAGACTTAATAAATAAATGTGGAAATATCCGATTCGCATCCGATTGCTATGTGTACTGCAAAAACTAAGTCGATTTAGATATGTTGTGAATAATTCAGAGAAAAAAAGTCCCTGTATTGCCCCCCGCCCAGGGATGGTCTGGTCAATAATGACAATTTTTTCGATAACTCAACCATTTCTTGATGGATCCTTCTCTTTTTCGGACTCGACTGAGATATTGATGAGATCATTCTGTGTACAAAATTTCAAGACAATTGGATGAGGCTTTCAAGAGTTATCGTGTGAACGGCCGGACACACTGACCGAATCTAGAGTGTACTCACTTTTTGAGTACACAAAAATGATGTGAAAATACTATTCACAAAAAAAAACATTATTTATTGGTGTATTTCGTCTTAATATTAATAAGTCACAATGAGAATCGATTCTCAAAGAATATTAAAAGCCTACTTGTATGAATTGATTCAAAAATAGTGTGTTTAGTGTTTCTCTGATTCATTTCAAGTTTTATTATTTCTAATGCATCTAACATGAATAACTCAAATACAACATTCTATTACTATTCAGTTGGTTTGCTGGCATTCTAAAATAGAATGCAATAGATACTGTGAATAATGTTTTGAATCGGTTCCTATTCGTTCTTTGCTTCTCAGTAATATAATTTTTAAATGATCGAATGGTATAGATTAATTGAATATCCAATATATTGCATGAATAAAAATGTGTTTTATAAACAAGTCAATGTTTTAATAGTTAGTATAAGATATGTATCTATGCAAGTTTACTGCTGTTATTTATATAAATCAACGAGAAAATGAAATGCAACACATCCTAGCACACAATTTAGGCGCTAAGAAACAGACTGTTGATGTCACATCTTAATTCTTGAAATCTATTTATATGAAATTGTTTATTAAATGCTATGTTAAATTTTTTCATGTTTTCTACGTTTAAAAATGCATGTGAATAGGTTACCTACGACTAAATATGTGAATTAATTTTATCAGACTATAAAATCAAGTAGACCAATAAGCAATGAATGCTAGTTTTCAGATAAAATAACATATTATACATAAATCTAATTGGCTCAGTAAATCTTACTCTTCAGAAAAACTATAAACTAAAAACATTTACTGATAACAAAACTTCAATATATATATATTCTATTCAGCAAAGCAACGATAAAAGAATATCATATTGGACTAAGGGATATTAATTTTCTGACTAAATAAGAAAATAGTCTACTTTATAGTAATGGTGTATAAATCGTAGCTATCATTAAGTTTGTTTGACACTATATACCCATTACAAGAGATTTTTTAGAGTTTGTCATTCATATAAGTGTGTTAGTATCATTATGGACTATCGTTTCTGTCTGCGTCTGTCTGTCTGTCTTTCTTTCCTTCTTTCCTTCTTCACTAGATGATTATAGTATACCACAATGTAAATGTATATTTTCTATTCCTTTCTGTTTTGTATTTGTATGTGTATTTGTATAGTCAGTTTAGTCATATCATTTCCAATTTTTCCTCAGTGTGGTCGAACCTCTTTTCATGGCCAATAATTATTCTCTTCTTCCTGATGAATTAAAATTGGTAAATATATATTATCCTTCGATTATATTTCGTTTTAAAAATATTTAACGACTCTCTTTCGCTTCTATAATTTTATAGTGGCAAAATCTTTACACTCAATCATTAACAATCGATGGACAAGAATCAATTGTTCAAACAGATGGAACAAAACAACTTGTTTTATTACCAATGATGACGTATACAGTTATATCAACAATGATTCAAAAATTGAAATTCCTTCCAAATTATTGTTTTAATCGAATTGTCATCGGAGGTTCATATCTGTTATTCTGATCGCTTCTTCATTGATTATTGTTTTTCTTATTTAGAAACTCCAATTTGTGGTCTTCGTCCATTGACTCAAACAAGTCCATCATTAATGTATAAACTCACAGAAATCTTACGTACTATTGTTGATGGTGTTCGTAAACAACATATTCTTAGTATCACAATGATCTTTTACAAAAAGAATGATATTAATATGGTACGATGAATTCTATACAGTTAAGAATACTTTTTTCTTTCAAATATTTTATTTAGATCTATGATTCATATTCACTTGTCTTTGATTATTCAATAAAATTGTCTAATGAAGGATCAACAACATCCATTCGAATGATTGCTGATATGATTCATCAAATAGAATATATGTTTAATTGGAACGATGTTTTACCCGATGATGCTGAACTTACATTTATTTTAACGGCACTTGATCAATGTAATATACTTCAATTCGTTTATTTTTATCTCGATAAACTTGTTTGTCTTTTTTTATTCTGTTTAGTTGAAAATAAGGAAAATAGAGTTCCACCGACATTTCATTTTGTCGAAAAAAATATTGAGAAAGTTTATATGGAACATGAAACAAATCAATTAATGGGTCGATTAACAACACCCGATGGAAAAATGTGGCTAAAATTTTTACCTAGTGTAAACTACACATAAATAGTGGATTTTAATTTTTCAATTCACATAAAATTTGTTTTTAGACTCGTCAATTATCTGGATCAAGCGTTCATTCCGATGATTTACCTACAAAAGCAAATCTGTTTGCTAATAAACAAAACACAATAGAAATTGAAAATGATAACATATCAACATGTTCAATTCAAACCATAGAGTCAAATATTAGTAAATTTAATAATTCCATTGTTAAAAATAAATATTTTTTATTTAAATTTTTATAAACACTTAGGTTTATCACCAAAAGTAAAGAAAAGCAATAAAAAATCGACAGCTTCGATAGGTAATGTCATATTTGATTTGTTATAATAAAAATAATTTCTTTTTTTAATTCAATCGATGTAGATACAGGTAAAAGTATACCGAATCTTCCATCTTTATCATCATCTATATCAACGAGAAATAAAAAGAAAACCAGCTTATTAGCAACAGTTAGTAAGTTGATGATCAAAAGAATAGAAATCGATATTTTTCTTATTTTCTATTTGTTTAGAAGCTTTAATTACACCATCACGTAAACCAGCTCCGATGACTTCATCAACACCAAATGTTTCTGATCTAGTTCTTATCCGTCATACGAGCACACCAAATCCTGGTGAAACAGCATCTCGCATTACTGTGGGTGCTAACAATGAATTGCCACCTCTTTCAGCCATCTATGAAATTTCAATACCTGCTAATATGTCTTCACCAACGCCATCAACTATAACTGCAACTGATATTTCTACAGCAACTACACCAATGATTGCTATTGCACGTCGAAACACAGGACGAGCAGCAACTGTACGTGGCCAAACGACAGCTGCTCGAAGACAGATTGCTGCAATGCAAATTCGAGATGATGATGACGACGACAACGATGACGATGATGATGATGAACAATTTAAGAAACTTTTTAGTAGACGAAAAACAAAGAAATCAAAAAATACTGCAGCAGTTCCAACAAGAAATATTACTGATTTATGTGAAGTTTCAGTAAGTTATCTTTTTAAAATTTAACTTATTTAACTTTGATGTATTGAAAGACAATATCTTCTGCCATTTCAAATAATGAATCAATATTTACACCGCCAACCACACGTAAACGACTGACAACTGATCGATTCGGTGATGATGATCTTGCAGCTGGTATTAATTCTTGAATTTATTGTTTTATGTTAATTTGTTCTATCTTCACTATTTAGAACATAGTACACCACCAAAAACGCCCCGTACGTCTCGTCACAATCGAATTGAAGATCAAACATCTATTCAAGTAAATTCTTTTTTTGATGATACTTCAACAATATTTTATTATTTATTTCATAGTCAACACTAATGGATACAAGTAATAATCAAGTTATTATTGATTCACCTCGACTTCTTCGTAGTGTTACAAAAAGACTTCAACAACAAGCATCAGGTAACACATAATATTATAGTGCGTATCGAATATATATTCAAAAATCAATGAACTTTTTCTTTAGCTAAAAAACAATTAGCGTATGAAACAGAAGCAATTGTATTTGATCAATCGGTATTGTTTAAATTTTTTACAAAACTGTATTTTTATTTTTATTTTCTCTATTAGAAAACACAAAATACAACAAAAGATCAAGAAGAGATGGATTGTGTCTACGTTAAATTGGAGCGATCGTCAATAGGTCTACATTATTCCATGGGTAAAAAAATAATATTAATGTTTTTATTTGTTCTCAGTAAAAATTAATTGAATTTTTTTTTTTTCTATAGAAGAATCTGATTGAAGAAATCAATGTTTTGACAATGCAGTAGTTTTTCTTTTCTCTTTTTGAACTAGTCATTTTGTTTATTTTATAATCCGAACAATGAAAATTTTGTATATTCTTATCTAGAAATGAAATTGTATACAATCTTATTTCACATGAAAAAAAAAACATGTTAATATATGTCCGACCAAAGATATTTCTGGGTTCAACGATAAAAAAAAACGTTCAGTGAACGTTGTGCATTTAGCAACTATAATTGAAACATTAAAAAACTTGATTAATGTATCTATCTGAATACGATCAAATGATAAATGAAAGTGGCGATTTTGTTTTTTATTGTTTTATTGAATCTTACTCATTTCTATTTCTTTGAAACCAATTAAGTTCTGAATTTTCATCAATGTTTGTTAGTAATCCACTGAATTTTCATCAATGTTTGTTAGTAATCCACTGAATTTTCATCAATGTTTGTTAGTAATCCACTGAATTTTCTAGTTGAGAAAATGACCGAACAAATTCAAAGCTGTTTGAACACAAAACATGATGAAGTCAAAGGTCAGGTTCTTTGTAAAATTTATAGTTTATTGTGCCATGATGAGGTTTACAGAGAATAAACATAGTAATAAAATGTTATCAACTAATTATGTTAATCATATCCCAAAAATAAACATAAAAGACGCACTGTTATAACTATGAAGAGAAAAAAATTGCATACATTGAGCGTCAAGAATTACATGTGTAAAGAACGTTTTTTTTCTTGTCTCAGTATTGATATTTTAACACCATTCCCATCCATGTAATGTGTATACTATTCTAAGATCAGAACAAAATACTTGTCCAATTTGTTTGTTTTTGTTTTTCTCTAAAAACGAACCATATAAGAAATAGCCCGAAGGAAATATGGTAAACTATATGTTAGAAAAAATTATTTTCTCATGTAAATATCATTTTTTGGTTTTGTATGAAACTTAATTTTTATTCCATTAAATACTTTCCTTACATTTCTGATTTTATCGGATATACAGTAGTTTCAAGCCGTGTCGCCCTTTTTGTTTTTTGAACATCTTCGTTGCAATTGCGCATAACTGCAGCACATTGTTCGTAATTGAACGTTTACGGGAAACGATGATAATTCCGAAACAATACAGCTCAGCTATGCCGCATTACTTCCATAGTAAGATTCACTGTATCCGATATCCACTAATTAAAAAATGCTCGTCTTGTTCGTGTCAATTTTCACACTTTTTATTATTATTATCATGTGTTCAAATGAACCAGAAACATATTCCTTGATTATGTCAGTGCTTCTCTACAGATTTCATCATATGTGTATGATATGGATAGACGTTATATCAGAAGACAAAAAAAGGTATTTGATACTAGAAACAAAACTATAAAAAGTAGGTATGTTCAAGTTATTATTCTTTTGCCGAATCTTTAATTTTAGATTACAAGCACCATAAACTTGAAAATAGTGAGAACTGCACATTCTTTGTCTCGTTACATCGCAAAAAATAAAATAATCATTAGAATGTTATATATTTTTCAGTGGAGGGGATAGATGCCCCGACCGCGTCACAGTAGATCTACTCCTGCCACAGAGGGATCGTATAATAGGACACGCTTTTGACCATTCGATTCATCAATCATATTCTTGCAGTAGATCGAATCAGTAAGTGGAATATTCTTTTCTTGTCACTAAATCGAGTACCTGAGCGTTTTCGAGGGTGTTAAGTCCGAATCCGAAGTATGATTTTACGAATCTTCGATATTTTCTATTTTTTATAATTTTTTCCGATTATTTACTTTGTTTATATTTTTAAAATTTTGAAAATTATTTTAGATCTTACTTGATTTATTCTTTTTTTCTGGTTTTACAATATTTTTCTTGATTTTGACAATTGTTATTACATTTATTAGATGGGTTCCCGCTGTTGGATTGCTCGACCTGAGCTAGAGTCAAAAATATCAGCGTCATCTGAATTGTTGTTGTTGACTATTAGGAAAACTTTCTAACAGTACCCAGGACACTCACGCTCGCCGGAATCCTTGCTCCCAGATATCACCGGATTCCGATCAAATCCAAACTAGAACCTGGGAGCAAGGATTGAGTGACATGAGTGACTACTTTTCATGAAAGTTTCTCGAAAATTTGTATAGATTACTCGTTCAAGTTTCGATGCTACTAGTGATGTGATAGTAGAAGTAGTTCAATATTATCGATAACACATGGTTGAAATGAAATGAATGGTTTTAATTGGAAATACTTATTGAAATTCTTCTTAATTGTTGCATCGTAATGAAAATTTATCTTCAGTATGAATGGCTATAGCCTTTCAAATCAAAATTATGCTTGTGTGACGCAGTTCGAAACTTAGCAAGCACAGCTAGAGATATTCCCAATGTTTTTTCTCGTCATTCATAAAATAATAGTTATTAGACGTTCGGTATTCTTTTATCTTCATATAGATAAACAGAGATGGAACACCAGCGTCGAGCCACTATACAATGATTAAACGTGCGTTGCCATTTAGCGCTTGATAATCAACTTCGATGTCTAATTTAACATCGTAATAATCAATACAAAATATTCTCAACAGTCGAAAAGTCTTCAAATCAATTGCAGAATCCAAAGTGTGAGGAAATTGAAAGAGATAAAAATTTGTTTTGATGCTTGTCGAGAGATAATGACTTGAAGAAGAGATAAGAAACACATCGTTTGATCTTAGTATTGCACGAAAATATAGACGGCGACGATAAGATGACAAAGAAAAAATAAAGACGCAACGATTGCTAATGAGTAGAAGTCAATAGGTATTGGCGACGATGAGCAACATAAGATGGATAGAAAAAAGTGTGCGTGCTTGTTACTCGAGACAAATATTGTCACTTTTGTTATTTGAATAAAGAAGAAATGAACTCAAACATCATTATTTTACTTTTGTTTTTAGTGTTATTCAATGTTCATAGTGATGAGACTATCAGATCAGATCAGATCGGTTTTGTTTTTGACTTTTCTCGAGCGTTTGATTCAATTTAGATTCACGAGAAACACGCGAAAAGAAAGTATCATAATTATTTTTCCTTGTTCGACAACAGAAATGACCAAGCAATTGGAAGAGCGACTTAATCAAACGACTTCTTGTATTTCACTTTTCTTTTGTTCTATAGATCTTTTTTCAATTTCATGATTAAATAGAAACTTCTTACTTGATTGGTACATGATGATGATGATGATGATGATTATATATTTATTAAGTGTTATAATAAAATGTTCATATTCAAATCCATCAATAAGAACTTATCCAATAGTTGACTTATTGGAAAATAGTCCATTGAATACATTTATCATAGAAGTAACACAATCGACAAATAAATTGAATTTATTAAATATAAATAGATTTGAAACAAAATTATTTTCAATACGAAATGGAAGTATTTATACAAAAGATTTGATTGATCGTGAAGAGTTTCTTGACAGACAATATTGTTTAAATAAGTTTTATTGTAAAATTGAACTACAAATACTTGTTGATGATGGCTTTGCTTATTGGATAGTTCCAATTCATATAGTTGAGTGAGTATAAAATTTATTTGTTCAAAAGAAAAAGAAGAAGAAAAAGAAAAAATTTATTATTTCAGTGAAAATGACAATAAACCGGAATTCGCTAAAACCGAAATTGAATTAAGATTTGTTGAAAGTGTTTCAAATGGATATAAAATATATTTCGAAGGTGCACGAGATTTCGATGAAGGTAAAAATAGTGAAATTCGTTATATTCTTGATTGTTCAAATAGTTTAAATGATGAAAAAAATCTAATTTTTCTTCATTTCAACGAAACATCATCGAGTTGTTCTTCATTGTTCGAATTAATAATGATTTCAAAATCTTCATTATCGTTCTCAAATAATTTCGATAGATTAGCATTAAAATTTAATCCGTTGTCGATGAAGAATATTGAAAATGAATATAAATTAAAAATTTATGCCATAGACAATAATCCATATGGAAATGAATTAATAAATTCAATGAATTTAATAGTTAAAATTGAAGAAAAAGGAAGAAAATTTCTTTTATCAGAATATGAATTTGTTGTTTTATTGAATAATTCAATAAATAAAACTGAATATATAATAGGCAAAATTCATGCGATATCAAATAATCCGGAAGAAATCATTTATTATAAAATTCTATCGAATAACAAAACAGCCAATGAAATAAAAATAAATTCTTTAACTGGCCAATTGATATTTTTAAATGAAAATAAGACGAAAATAATCAATGATGAAATGGAAATTTTTGTTGAAGCATTTTTATTATTGAGAGAAAAGAAATTGAAAAAATTAAAGACTCAAACAAAAGTTAAACTATTTTTTCGTTATTTGAATTTATTGAACAATATTTCATTGAAATCTGATCCAGTTTTATTGAATAATGAAAATAATATTTATCCACTAAATAATGATTCAAACACATTTTTTCTTAATAAAAATATTCAAAGAAATCAAAACTTATTAAAACTATCGCTTTCTTCGTTTTCTTATCCAAATGACAAATTTATTATTTCGCTTGAAAATTATTTCAATACATTTTTTCTTGTTCCTTCATCGTCTTCTTCAATTAATTCGTATTTTTTAAAATTGAATCAACAACTTATTTCTGATTATATTTATTTATTAAATATTCAAGTTAAACATAAATTATCTCAACACTATTTACCCAATTTGAATGTTAAATTAATTGTTTTCGATCAATTAACAACAACAATTGTAACAAACCATAATCAAACTTTTGTTGAAAACAATAATCATACAGAAGCATTAAGATTAGCGGTAGATTTGAATGAAATTCTTAATGAATCATTAGAATTTTGTTTAGAAAATAAATCTTACATTATTTATGATATGAAAACTTATAACGAAGTAGCTTTCCTAAAAGTCGTCAAATCAAATTTATTTATTAGCGATTTCGATAATTTAACTTTTATTTTAACAAATTTTTTTAATATTAACCAAAGTGAAATAATTATTAACGGATGCCGAATGTTGATTAATCAATTAAATGATGTATTTAATAAATCTTTCGAATATCAATTATGTTCATTGAATGATCATGATGGATGTTTTAATTTAACTTTTATTGATCAAATTAATCCGATATCATTTCATAGTGGTAATCATGTAAAAAAATTTAGTTTACCAATAAAACCAATCGAAAAAGTTATGGTTTGTATTTCAATTATATTTCTTATTGTTACATTGATTCTTATTTTACTTATTTGTCGCTTGAACGATTTTGATCTTCGTTCAAAACTTAAAACTTCTTTCTTTTACGGCAAAGAATACGGAAACAAAAAATCTAAACATTTATCTTCTTTTTCGTTCTCGCAACCACCGTCATCCTCATCCACCTCCTCTGGATCATCATTGGCAACAGCAGAAGAAGCGGCAGTAAGGAAAATGTCATGTTTCCTAGTTGATTTATTTCTTATAAAATTTATTTTATTCTAGCAAAGAGTTCATTCGATTATTATTCGAGATTCTCATTTTTCTTCATTGAGATCAATAGAAATAAGTTGGTTTTTGTTGAATTTTTCTTTGAAGAACATTACGACATATCTAATTGTATTATAGATAATGATGATAATGAACCATATCTATTTGATATTGATCATTTTTTTCAACGAGAACCACTTCCAAAAACAAACACATTTATATTTCCAACAACTGGACCAATATCGTCATCCTCGTCATCGTCGTCGTCGTCACCGTCAGTTACACTTCAACGACAAGAAAATACGATATCGACTGTGGATAATAGATTATCAACACCTAAAATATCTTCATCATCATTTCTTCAAGAAACCAAACAATTATTGGACATGATATCATTAAATTTAAATTATGATTTATCAAAATTAACTTCTGAAGTATGAAGTATTTGTTTGTATGTTCTATTGATGCGATTTATTTAATATTTGAAGTTCTGGTTTAGTTGTTTTTGCTTTTTTTGTTTGAAAAGTTTATTAAAAAACTATAATTATTAGATGTAAGTTTGACAAGTTTGATTAAACATCAACATGTCTTTCAATTGCTAATACAATAAGATTTCGTATAAAACCAAGCATAAATCCAAGTGGAAAATGTTTTACAAACGGTTCAATTTTATTCCATTTTCTAGTCCAACTTTTTTTCTTTTCAGCTAATGATTTTTCTTAAATTACATATTTTAATAAGAGAGAATAAAATTGATTGTAATGAAGCTGTTACGACTTGAATCTTCTTCAAATGTATGCCTAAGAATTTGCCATCTTTATCTATAGTTTATATATATATATTGGAGGGGAAATTAAAATTTTAATCTCTTCTAGAGGAATTTGAAATCTTTCTCTTTCCTCTATATTTCCTATGAAGAAGCGAGCATTCTAAGTTCACCTAGGAGAGATTACAATTTTCCTCTTTCCTGTGCATTTTATACGAAGAAGCGAGCGTTTTAATTTCACTTAGAGCAAATTAAAATTTAATTTCCCGTATAGGGGAAATTTAAATTCTCCTAGTAAGTAATAAATGTATAATCTTTTACGTTCTTGTTGTGTTTCCTTGGAAACTATTCTATTATTTATCAAAATATTATAAGGTACTTTCAACAATGTATAGTTTACATAAAAAACACTAGAAACAACTTGAAGACAAATGCAAAAATTATTCGATATTTCCACAGGCATGTTATTTTTTGGATGACATTTTGTACAGCATTTTACATTTTTTGCCTTACACGGACAAGCTTTTGTAGCACATTTTCCACTACAATTGCATGTTCCTGAGACTGAATTTATTCCTACTGAAACATACTCTTTACATGCTTGTGTAAATGGAATTGTTGGATCAACACTTCTTAAATCAGCAAAATCATTGTTTCTCAAATCTAAAAGATCCTGAACACCATATAACACTGACAATACACCTTTCAATGTACAAAGCTTATACATGACACAATCATTCTGTAATGTATGAATAGATATAACTTTACAAGGTAAAGTTTTTGGTGACGTGTTGGTTCTGTCAACACGATCAATTTCCAGACCGACAATATCTCCAATTTCATAGCGTAGTTGTTGTACGGAATCATTATATAACTTTTGGCATTTAGCCACTGATTTTAAATAATCGGTTGTTGCTTCATCTCGGATCGTTTTGTGTCTGTACTCAGATATGTTAGCAATTGCACTTGGAATATTTGCAGCATTGTTTAGAATAGACACATCTATTTCATGAAAGAAAAATACAAAAAGCGTGATTAATTGAGTGCTATGTTTCTCTGGCAAACCTTGAACAATAGTATTGTTAGTTAAGTCGAACAAAGTACGAGAACATATCCAACTTGTTGTTTCAAGTATTCTATCCATAATACTAGCCGCAACGGCGGTGTTTGGAGTAGAAGGTAATGCTGGTAATTGAGATTCATGTGTTATATTAAGAGTAGGATTGCTACTATCAAAAGTATTTAGCTGGTTGTTGTGCAAATAAATTATTAGTTAAATTAACATCTCACAGGAGTTTTGTTTTTTATTTGCATTAAGGAATGAAACCGGAAAATTATTATCGTTTTAGAAAACAACTACAAATAAAAACTATTAGTATCGTGTTTCAAAAATCTTTGAAAACTTAATTTGTGGTCTTGAAAATCATGAAAAATCGGTGATAAACAAATAATTACTTAATTTGGTTAATCAAACAAAATGTATTATGACTTTCGCAAACACAGGTTAGAATCTAAAATACTACACTTTTATAGATTAGCGCTTCGAGTTTTCTCCTACAATTAAAGGTTATTATCTTGCTTCGATTAGGTACTTATCACTGAAGTCATTCTAGCTTCGGAAAATGAAAAATGCTATAAATCCGGGTTTGAAAAATAATCTTAACGAAATTGAATAGAAAATTCTTTGCAAGTTGCAATTAAGTAATCTTACATCAGTTAAAGTTGTAAGAGTGTATTTTTTCGTACAATTTTTATCAAATAGTTTTTATATCAGATTTCAGATCTGGAGAAGCTGAAAAGGGTGAAGGTTTGAACTTGAAAAGTTCGAATCTAGCTGCGGACAGTAAACATACTAAAAATGACTGTGTCAAGTAATAAAAAGTATTGTGTCAATAAAGGTAATCAAACTTTTTATGACAATATATATCGTAAAATGCACTATGACGAAATGAATCATAAAAGACACTATGATACAGTAAGTATTAAAATAATACGATGAAAGTTTAAGTAACAATGTAAAAGTTGAGGATGAAAAAAATAGTTACTATTACATATTTTCTTTGCTACTGTGTAAAGTAGAAAAAGTCGCATATAAGCATACTAATAGTTTCTGAAAATGGTTCATTGATTAGAGAATTTTTCTACTTTACGTAACCGAACAGAAAGTACTGATAGGTGACTTTTTCAGACCTCAAATTTTACATGGGAGACGAAAGCATACGTAAGTATAAATGTAATATTCTCGATTTGCTGTAAATCCAAAGAAAAACAAATGTAATTAGAATGGAAAATTATGCATGACTGAAACATTTTTTGTCACAACAAATACAATAAATTAAACATAATTCTCAGAGACTATTTCACATGAAGTCGTTTTATACGATCATTATAGATTTTCTTCATTCGCCAAAAATTGTGTTCACCATATCAGTCATTAGTTCTCTAAATATTTTTAGTGTTTCACCTTTATTTGCTTTCAACCATTTAGTGATAATACCATCTTTTGAAATCATATCTACAATTTTATTTGCAAGACCATGTTTACTTTGAAATTCTTTCTGGACGCGTCGACGTTCTTGATTACGTTGTGTCTGTTTATATAATACGTATCCTAATATACCTGATGTACTAATAATAATCAATGATAGAGATGTAATAATCATATGAAACCAGTGTCGATTCCAACATGAGAAGTGACTTTTATTTCTTCGAATCTTCGAATCATACGTAGATATTGTCGAAATGATACTTGTATCACTCATTTGTCTGACGTTTATTTATTGAAAAACAGAAATTAACATTTAAAGGGTATTTTCAAATGAACAACACGAATGTAACTAAGGAGTATGAAAAAAATATTTATATAAATGGAGGAATTTTTACTAACTTAAAGGCAAGGGGGAAAATGAATACTGTTTTACGTTAGAATACGTTGAAGTATCAAGTTTTTCCTTGTTCCGTAGCAACTAGATCACTTTAGATTATCGCAGATCATATCTTTCCAATTTTCAAATCCTAGTTAACATTTTCAATACCAAACTCACGTAAGGATTCTATTAGAGGAAATGAAGTCGTTATAATGTTTATTAAACACATATTCATCCACTAATCATCACGGTCAGTCGCGATCAATTTAGTTTTATAGTAGCCAGAATATTTTTGAAGTTATCAATTTTCAATTTGTTCATCTTACGTTTAGAATAAAATAATTGTCTCTTTGTCGTTCATCATGAGGGAAATTTTACTATGGTGCTCATTGAAGCCTTATTTTGAAGTATGAATGAAAACTTTTCATCCAAAATCTCTGCTTTAAATATTGATAATACTAATATGACGAGTTCGTCTATTTTTGGGCTATAGTTTTATTCAGAAAGAAGGCATGCAATCTTTCCAGGTGTTCAACACGTTATTTTCGAACCAAAAAACAACGATTAAAGCTAGAATTGTATAGAAAAAATGTCACTTATCTTACAATAATGTTTAAAAACATTGTCACGTGTCAACAACACGCCATGCTTTCTCTAATATCACAAGATTTGTCAAAATTACTATTGGAAAAAAATAATTGCTTACATACGATTCTAACCCTTTTTATTTTTACTTCTTGACAAGAGTATGGAACAAATCGAATGCATCTATCTCTTCGTTTTAATTAATTACATGTAAACATAAAATGCAATGAATAAACTCATAGTGCCAGTATTATCATTACGAAAATTAGTCATGAGTATATGTAGCTTCGCTAAAAATTAAAATTTTCATTTTTCTGAGCTTCCTATCTACAGTATTTTGAATAAGAAAAAAATTGAATCAGAGAGAACCTTGCTAAAAATAGATTGAGTATCATGATTACATATCAAATTTCCTTCATGAGTTTAAAATAGTTCAACGCTAGGCGCATCGTACAATATTGACATATGTCCTCTTGACTGTACCGTTTATAAATGAGTGAATAAATCTTACGATCTGTAACACGTTATTTTATTTCTCTATTTATTAGAACCCACAATAGATATTTTCATGTGAAATATCTTGCTGGACTATGACATCTTGAAATGATGTGCTCTTTTTTGTTTTGCTATCATTTTATACATCATTTGGCGCATTTATCAAAGATAATGTTTTGAACGTTTTGTTTGCTTTCAGCTGCAAGTCAATCAACCGAATCATCGATGCAAAATGAGTACATTTTGTTTAAAAAAAATATACATCATACTATATCGATGATTCATTCAGTTTGTTACAAGTGTTTTGCTTGATATTCTAGTATAAATTATTCTGATTGGGAAAATGTATTAGATTGGTAATTTATTGTTTGTAATCAAGGTTAGAATCTATTCAAAGTTAATTATTAATTGAATATTCATTTTTAGCAACAAGTATTGTATCAAATTGATCAAACCAATTTTATTTAACAATAAAACTGATTCTTATAGAAAATTATATCAAAATATTGAATAAAAATCTGATTTTAAGTAGACATTTGTTCATTATATTTTCATAGGTTACTGTTACAAATTATTTTATGAAATGATAAGTATATTTCAATTGATGAAGGCCAAGCAACGTTCGAAATCAATGAAAATAATTCTTTATATGAATCTTATACTTTTACTTCTTATCATCATACATGTGGCCAGGAAATCAGAAAATAACTTTTCTCCACCGTCAACTATTACGCTACCAACGTTACATTTGATTGATGTCGCATTCAGAAACCAACTGATAACTGAACGCTTAGCAAGTTACTCACAATTCTACAATAATTCACTAGGCGTCTGCAATATAAAAAATTCGTTAAATGCTGAGCAAGAAAAGATTTTCCCTCATATATCTGAATTACTGATAACACTTCGTCAACAGATTGTAACATATCCAAATCAATATTTCAATGGCCGAGGTATTATTCTTACTGTTGGTTCAAGTCAATTGGAACTGGCAAGAGTCAATTTGAAAATGATTGAGCTAACCCGCACTCGATTGCCTGTTCAGGTAACTATATAGTTATATAGATTTGATTGTATAAACACAGATTGTTTAGGCTTTATAAAAAAAAGAAAATGAAAAAATATCCATCTTATGTTTATGAAATAACTAGATTTACTTTTACATGTGATTATATTTTATGTTAAAACTCATAATTAACAGATCTTTAGCAATTAGGAGAAATTTCAGATTCATATTATGATAGTATTCATTAGATCATGTATGCGAAATAGATATATACATTAGCTTTGAAAAACTTAAACTGTTAGACTTTTCTTGCTGATATTCAACAATAATTTTATTCAATAAGACTTCAAATAATTAAAAGTATAACTTTGTTATTGTTAATCAAGTTATACTTCACAAAACTAGGAGTAAGAGTAAGAGTAAGAATTTGAAGTCAATATAAAAGTCTCACTAAAAAGATGCATGATAAAAACAAAACGATACAATTTACTAACGTAACATAAAATTTTTCGAATCTCATATAGGATTATTCAAAGGAAAATAATGATTAGGAAAATGAAATTGAACTTTTTCAAGTATTATTCTACAATTTCAAATGATTGTAGCATAAAATCAACGATTACCAAGTAGTTTTTTTGTATTCACCGAAGAGTCTAGTAAGTACATGCCATTATGGAACGAAACTGAACAGTCATGATTTTTAGTTGAATCTTCAAGACTAATAAATAACTGAAGTCAAAATGAAAGATTCGCTTTACAATCAATATTATTGAACATTTTTTGAACTAATAAAAGAAGAAAAAAACACAGTCACTATTTATATCTCGTTATTTTCAATAATCTAATTAAGTCATTTTTAGACTTGTAACTTAATCGCTTTTGACTCCTATACGTAGTTATCACTTTTTATTTTTATGTGAGAAATAATTTCATGAAATTCCAATGATTGTGGTTAATTACTAGTGAAATGCAAAGAAACACACTTCCAGTCTTTACTGCGGAAAAATTATACCTTTTTTTTTTTATCTCAAGCACAACCACAATATGCTGCCTATTTCTCATTGAGCAATGTTCTCTCCAAATTTAATATTTTATTTATTTTCACAGTGAAAAAGTTCTCCATTAAGACAGATTTCATCCTTTTGTTTTTAGTTATGGTATTCATCCAGTCAGGTTTCACAGAAATTTATGCTTACCTTGCTTGATAGGGTGCCTAAACTTAACGCAAGTATATGTTGTTTTGATACAGCTCAATGTAAAACGCGTAATCAAATCTGGCAACTTAATTCTACTAATGTCTACAAACCTATCACAGGCACTCTATGGAAACATTTTCCTTATAAACCAGCAGCCATTATTAGTTCTACTTTTGAAGAAGTGCTATTTCTCGATTCCGATGCGTATGTCACACGAGATCCTGAAGATCTCTTTCTTTCTGATCCAATGTATCTTAAATTTGGTGCTCTTTTCTTTCCCGATTCTTATTTGAGTCGACAGCATCCAGTTGTATGGAATTTATTTAATACAACTTGTGGTGACCATGAATATGAACTAGATAGTGCAACAATATTAGTTCACAAAAAAATCGTATGGAATGGACTTTATATGGCAAAATTAATGAATGATAATCATGAATTATTCTATCAAGTAATCATTTATTATTGAGATTCATCTAAATAGATTCACATTTTTCGTTTCTTGTAGCATGTTACCGATGGAGACAAAGATACATTTCGATTAGGATTCCGTTATATGAACGTAAAATATTATTTAGTAATGACACCATGTGCTGTATGCTATCATGAATATTCCAGTTTTAAAATTTTTTATTGACATTGATTTTGTCTCGTTTTTCTCAGACTGGTTCATTTGATGGTACTCGTTTTTGTGGTTGGACTCTTTGTAAGACAGATAGTCTAGCACAACATATCTACATAAAGTATGAATATTTTATATGGTTAACTTTTTGATTATTTTCTTTTCATTTAGTCATGTTCATATTTTCAAATATGAAAATATTAAATATACATCAGCTAATTTAGGTTATACACGCATTGGGCTCGGAGATCCAAATAACAATTCGTTTTTCTTTACTCATTGTCGATTACCCGGAGCATCTACAAGTTGTTTTCATATTATTAAACAACCCAATCCACATATTACTAATAGCAACTGTTATACAGGTGGAGTTCCATTAGAAGATATTGAAAATCATCAATATACTCTGAATGAATCTCTCTTATTTGATAATTCAAGAAAAAATAGAGTATTATTCAGCAAAACCAATCACTTGATCCCTAATTTTGTTGACAATTTATTGAAATATATCGAATAGAATAAAACCAACAGCCAATCAATCGATCATATAAAGATCAGATGAATGGTTGGAAAAAAACTATTTTACTAATTTCCAGTTTAAAATATCTGACTTTCAACTGATCGAAAAAATATAAAAAATAATATCATCCATTTATAGATTGGCCTCCGGGAGATCGAATTCTGCAGTTGATTTTAAAAATTTTATTTCTTTCTTTATCATACCAAATGCATTCATGAATATTGTCTCGGAAACTATTAAATAAACATATTTATTTAGAATTTTCAATTTGCTTGTATTGAAAATATATAAAATGGCTTCGAAATTGAATTGTAATACAATCAATAGTATACTTCAGATCAAGCACAGTCAATATTATCTCTATGTCTAATTTTGCGTGTAACTAACGTGACAGGAATGTTAATTTGATCTAGTAAGCATAACAAGATACCTGAGATTTCTTTCAAAAAATGAGCGTAGTAAGTAGCGATACTCTATAGTCATTTTTAACAGTTTTTTAGAATTTCTTTTAGATATCGAACTCTTGGAACTATTGCATGAGAAGCAAAAATATAAATTATAATTGAAAGAATTCAAGAATTTATTCGGTCTTATTCGATAAATATAATCGTGTGTATATTTCTTAAAGAGAAGAAAAACGATAGGATTTCTATGTCTCACGACATGATTCATTTTTTAATTATAGCTATGCATAGTACTAACTTATTCGATTTCTTAATTGTATTGCAATTAGTGAATTTTTAGAGCATTTATTCTCAGAATTTCTTAACAATTTCAATGTCCATATTTTATAACATGCTCGTCAACGAAATAAATAGAGTAATATTAACCTAACAAGAAAGAAAATCGAATATTTTTATTATTAGACGAAAATAATATGATATGATCTAGGAAAAAACATTATTCCTATTAAAAAGAATATTTATTATCACCATATATCAAATGTAAGTTTTAAGTAATTACTAAAATCATTGTTTTTCTAAACTGGTCATCTCAGAAATACTTTATGAAAAAAAAGATAATACAATATCTTTACTGTACATTGATGATATAATTTAATTTATTTTTATCGCTCATATAGGAGAGTTCTAAGTTTTTATTCATGAGTAAAGAATTGAGTGCAGATTGCTTTAAACTATCGCTATTTAATTCAAAGAGATTAGTTTCCATTATCTATTAAAGGTACATGATAGATTTTAGATATCGATATGATCATTATAATTCTCATATTTCATAGATTAAGAATAAAATTGGCCTGTAATCTTTGACTTTTGATTAGTTTATCTGATTTTATCGAGGCTTCGCAGGCTCCTTTGACAACACAACAGTTTTGAGCAAACTATACTGTTGCATTTAATTTTTGATAGAATACTTGTTTAATTAATCAACTGCAAGGATACAAACGCATATGACGCCTTGACTACATTTCTGTTTTTCGTACGGCTTTTAAATTTGAAGATTTCATTAGAGAAAGAGGAACTAACAAAATTTTCTGAAGTTTCGGAAGATTCTGACTTATTTTGAGTGCTTTGATTGCTTTATGTTTAATTATTAAGGAAACTATTGTCACAGATAGGATCATTGAAGAAAGTTATTCAATATCAGATATGTTAAAATTAACACGGTTGCATCGATGGTTTTCTAATAATTGGCTACTAATAAAAGTGCTTGCTAAAAGAAATGCAACTTTCGATTGAAGTAAATACTTCTAGATATTAAATGTTTCAATAAACTAATGATTTCAAAATGAAAAATTGTAACTTTCTTCTATCAATAGGAAAAGCTTAAAATAGGCTCCTTTCATCTAAGTATGGCAGTGACATTAAATTTACTGTTTTATAGATGTCTTCTGCGGTGTCAGGTAATGAATAACGGTATAACTTAGGATCTACACAAATACTTATGAGTGAAATTTTTCAATTTCTCTACTATTTTAATTTACTACTAAACGAGCGGCATATTCAATTGATAATTTACAAATACAACAATCGTGTAACTGCATTGTTTTGAAAAGAAACTATTAAATAATATTATGCAACCTCTCAAACCAAAGTTAAAATGATGATTTTGTATAGATGGATCTGTTTTGCTTTTTACATTAATATTTATTTAATATTGAAATAGTAAGTTACTACAATGACACTGAGATGTTGCTGATCATGATGGATTTGGAGAATATGTTCATCGAATTCATTAGCTTAGATCATACAGTTATTCATCTTTATAGAAATAAACGAATATTTTTATTATTCATGTTAAACTTGCTATCTATAAAAAAAGATACAATTTCCTTTCTATGTAGTGAAATTCAGTACGTCTATACAATGCACACTCATTATATGGTCTGTGATTGAAGTATCTGTATGCATGTCGAAGTGTGTGTGTGTCATTTAGACGCACCTAAAATGTTATCTTTAGCAATTTCTGGTATCTCAATCAGGTAAAATAATTTAAAAAAGAAAAGAAAAGAATAACATTAACATTCAATCTGGTTTTTGGTTACAAAGCTCATGCAAAGAAAAGAACAGAATCCAATACTAGAAGATTAAATGATTGGTCTATTCATCACCATTTCAGTTGCACCAATGTCCTCAATAGTTTCGGCTTTTACTATTGCCCTCTATCATCATAATAATATAATATATTATTCTTAGAATACAATTTTTCTCTTTTTCTCTCGTTTCTCGCTCTTTAGCAAATCAGACTAAGAAATGTTCTTTATTCTATTTTGTCCGAGTTCTTTTCCTGATAAATAGCTTCACTAGAGAAAAGAGAAAAAAAGAAATGTCGAAGACATTCGATACATTCTGTTTGTTTATTTTTCTAGTCGGTATTTTGTTCCATTTCTTTCTTTGTTCTTTCATTTTTTTAACACTTGTGAATATATTTGATATCTAAAAAGTTTTTCTTAAAAGTTACTGTTCAGAATTAACAGATGAACTTTTTCTGATTCATGATGGGTACAAAAAGAAAAGAAAAGAAAATACTTGTCTGCAGCTGCATATTTTCCAAGCTTAATGTGTAAATTATTGCAATGCCATTTTTTTTAATATCCAGGTGTTTTTCTTTTGGTGTGTAGTCTTTCTTTTTTAGCGCTTTACTATCATCTGATTTACAAGGCCTTGTAGTAACGCTTGATTACGTTCACATTATACATAACTTCAGGCGTATATTGTTCACATGATACTTTTCTCCTTGCTTTCGCAAACCATTTTTTTCTTGTTCTCATTACTAGGTCATTGGATGAAATTCTTAAAGAAAGGTCATCATTGTTCTTTTCTGCACTTGTTTGAATGCAATCGATTGCGGTAAATGGGAGTGTATTTGTTATCTATTTTTAAAAGTGATTTTATACTCTTTGTGTCTGTGTGTGCAGTAAAGATTATTTTTTTCTTTTATGCGTTTGGTTTTCTTGCTTTCTTGGCTCTTTCCGATAGGTAAAAAATACCATAGGGTTTATATATACATTTACACACCGTTTTTCTGTCGATACAAGTTAAATAGGAAGGAATGAGAAAAGAAGAAAAAAAGAAAAGTTCGAATCTTTTCCAATCGACAAAATCATTTAGACAGCATAGATAGAGAACAATAAATACATCAAAACAACAATGAAAGAAAACTTCATATTCAGTTTGCTTATTTTTTTTCATTCTTTAGAAAACAAAACTTTATTTTAGATTCTGGTGTTCTATTTTCAACAAGTCAAAAGCATTGCTGTTGTTCAAGTACAGAAGAAAAATATTTATTTATTTTGTATTGTATTATGTTCTTGGTCGGAACAAACATCGATTGGAATTATTGGAATTTTAATATCAGTGATTGTTTATCTATAAAAAAAAGATCTAAAGAATATTTGATGACTAATTCAATAATAAGTATTATTTAACATCCCATTTGTTCTGCATCAATTCCTTTTCTAAACATTCGTTCCTCTTCATCCTTTTTTTCTTTTTACATTAGGTCAGTCTTTTTCTGACTTACATTGATTTAATTGATTTATCCTTGTCTTGCGCTTGTGTGATAACTATATTTTATTTTATCTTTCCTTGTCATTTGTAAGTCGTGTAACGTACACAATTTTTTAGTTCGATTATTTTTTTTGAGTTTCTTTTTTTGAGTTGCTGTTTTCTGTTGCAAAAAAAATCTGGTCCATAATGTATTTTTATCGTTATTTTTTCCACATAATTGTTGTAAGTTCAATCATATCAATAATAGAAACATTTTCAATTGCAAATACTCATAATGACGTTAATCAGGTACCATATTTTCTTTCATCAAGTTTTTTCTACAGCAAGAAAAGATCAATTATTATTATTTTTGTTGTATTTTAGGTGTCTCGACAGCAAGTTCAAATGACATCAATTGAAAAAAGAAGTCGAGAGTACAAGGAAAAATTTCATAAAGCTGATAAAGATCAATTACCATCAACTCATACAGAAACATATTTATTAACAATGCTTCCAGTATCACAAGGTGATCATGTATATAATAGTGCTGGTGAACAAGAATGGGAAATACAAAGAGAAAAAGATACGGGATTTGCAATTTATGGTATGTGAAAAAATATTTACTAATTTGCTGAATTTTCAACCTTATTACATTTGAAATTTGTTCATCTATGTTTTATCTTCAGTAGTATTGTTTTCAAAATGCTTTTTTTTGACTTTTTTCGAAATGTTTAAAAGTTCATTTTGAATATCTATTAACATGAATGAGTTATTGTTGAAGTAGAAACTAATTGTTATATTGCTTTTCATAGTAAAAAATATAAATTAATGATCATCTAAAAATATATCTACGGAATTATAACTATATTATAAATACAAAAAAAGACAAGAACCTTAGCTTTCTTTTTTACAACTCATTGATCATGTTTTCTTTCATTTCGTTTTAGGTGAAAATCTTAACGGTGCCCAATTATCATTTACAACACATCCCAAATCATGTCAATGGGAACGTAAAAGTAAGGTATATACATTAACAGTTGATGAAGCTGATCCACATGAACGTATGAGTGAACGTGCTTTTGTTACCTTTAATTTACCGTATTATAATTCAACTTTATATATGTGTATAACACCAAATAATTCCACTGAAGTATTTCATCAAGGAAATCGGTATTAACAAATCTTTTTTTTTTACTTTTATTTTTTTCTCTTTTATTTTACAGAGCTGCATTAAAGATTCGAGTTAACCGTCGAGCTATACCTGTTTGGACAACAATAATATGTTTAATTTGTCTTCTATCGTTATCAGGTCTTTTTTCTGGTTTAAATCTTGGTTTAATGTCATTAACCCCACACGATTTAATTGTTATACAAGAAGCTGGTACAACAAATGATCGTAAATATGCCAAAAAAATCTATCCCGTACGTAAACATGGTAACTTTTTATTATGCACTATTTTATTGGGAAATGTTTTGGTTAATTCTACTACAACTATTTTACTCGATACATTAATTAGCGGTGGTTTCGCTGTAGCCGGTGCAACATTAGCCATTGTTATTTTTGGTGAAATTATTCCACAAGCAATATGTTCACGACATGGACTTAAAGTTGGTTCCCAAACAATTCGTTTGACACAACTTTTTATGATTGTCACATTTCCAGTATCTTATCCATTGAGTAAATTACTCGATATAACTCTAGGTAAAAAACATCTTTGTATAGCTAGTCTTTTATATATAACTAAAGGTTTAAAATTTTCTTTTTTCTATCATGAAAATATCTAAAGTTAGATTATTGTGTAGATTGTTTTCTGTGTCAAAGTTATTCGTTTGCACAGTATTATGAAGTTGATGTTAGTTGCATCTTAGCAATGCCTATAAAATAGAGATTAGAAAGGGCTTTTTGACTTTAACGTAATTCTATATTAATCATCATATGAACAAATATTTAAAAAAAAATCCTTTAAATTAAATACTCTCTTTTGTACTATTTCCAAAAAATTTTGTTTAGTAAGATTTATTGAAAATTTGTTGTTATTTTTATTTTTGCATATAAGTTTGAATTCTTACGAGCAAATAAAAGATATTTCGAATTGTTAATTTGATTGGTTAATTATCTATGAAAATTTTCATAATTGAATTGTCGGCTGATGTCAATTGAACTATGCTTGAGGCATACGGTTCTAATCTTTTCGACTACAGAACGTTTACACTAGAGAATGATAATCGTCTTCCTGTTTTTCAGATTCGTCGTATCCGTTATGTTTTTTTTTCATGCTTCGAGACGATTTGTCGCTTTATAAAAAATTATATTTATTTTTTTGCTATTTTTAATTTAAGGTGAAGAAGTTGGTGCACGTTATACACGTGATCAAATGAGTGCTTTATTGAAACATACGCAAACAACTGATATTGAAGATCGTGAAAAACTTATAATGACTGGTGTATTAAGTTTGAAAGGAAAAAAAATTCGTGATGTTATGACAAATTTAATTGACGTATTTATGCTTGAAGCAAATCGTATTGTGGATGATGAGCTTGTTCTAAATGTTCATGGTTATGGTTATTCAAGAATACCTGTCTATGAAGGACGACGGTTTGTTTTCAGAATTTTCAGTAAGAAAATGTTTCTAATAATCTCTTTTATATATTTTTCAGGGATAATATAATTGGTCTGGTGAACATACGTGATTTTGCACTACTTGATACTGAGTCTGGAAAATTTACTGTAAGAAATATAATGAATTTCTACAAGCATCGTTATGGCACAGCTATAACACCAGATGATTCAAGTTACGATGTATTTAATCTATTTAAGAAAGGTAAAAATAGATAAAAAAATCTAGTCAATTTAAGATTATATTCTATATATGATCATTTTTTGTTTAGAACAATATCATTTAGGTGTTGTTGTTGAATATGATAATACAAGTGAAAAAGATCCAAAAGCAAAAGCTATCGGTATTGTTACATTAGAAGATATTATTGAAGAAATGATTCAAGAAGAAATTGTTGATGAAACTGATGTATTTAGTACGTAGAAAGAGAAGACGAAAACTCGAAATTTCTAATCAGAATATGTACATATTATTCTTTAGCTGATAATCGTCGTAAAGTACGAAATATGCTTTCTCAAGCACCGGATTTTTCAGCATTTATTCGTACAACAACAAATGCAGTTGCAAGTAAAATATCAGCGCAAATGAAAGTAGCTGTTTTTCAGTTTCTGGCAACAAGTGATATATCTTTAAATTTTATTGAATAATAAAATAATCTTTTTTTTATTTCTTTTAATCTAGGCGTTGAACCTTTTCGTGATAAATTTATATCTGCTCATATATTGAGTCGTTTATTAAATGTTGATTTATACAAAGAATTTGAATTCGATGAAGATGATTCAAAATCAGGCAAAATAACATATATATATGAGTATGGTAAACCAGTAGATTATTTTGTGCTTATTGTTAATGGTAAAGCAGAATTAGAGACAGGAAAAGAAAAAATTGTTAGTGAAGTTGGTTCATTTTCTTATTTTGGTGTTAGCGCACTTTATGTAAGATTTCAATATTTACTTTTTTGTCTAAATCACGGAAAAGCAATGAACATAAAATTTTATTCGTTTTAGAATTCTGACGAAAAAGTTGACGATCTTATTCGATTGAAATCAAATAAATTTCGCCCCTTTATACCTGATTTTAGTGTACGTGTTAGTGAAGATGTACAAATTTTACGTATACGACGTGTACATTGGCTAGCTGCTGTACGAGCAACTTATTTTGAAAATAAACAAACTGCGAATGGTGGTGCACTGATGCTTAATTCTGATGGTGAACAAATTGATTTATTAACACAAGAATTAGAGATGGCTGATCATATTGATCCAGTTACTGCTACTGGAAGTCTTAGTGGTGCTGCTGGACAAGATGGTGTCATCGGAGGAGTAAATAACTTACGTGAAAGAACATCATCATTAGCACCAACAATTGCATCCGATGGTGGAACGGGTGTGACAGAACAAGAACGACTCATAACTCAAAATCAAGCGATGGCTAATGTATCTAATTCAGCTAAAATGTCAATTGATAGTCCTAGTACATCAGGTCCAAATACGCCAACATTAACGATGAAACAAAAACGGCAACTATTTCGTTCGGAACCTACAACAGAACCTCCATCATTAACAGGTGGAAATGCATCGTCAAAAAATCGTTCTTTGACTTAGTATTTAAAAAATGTGCACCTGTATATATATATGGGACGGTGTCTAGAATGTAATTCTATTTGTTTTTCTTCTTTTCACTCTTCTTATAGAATTAGTTTTGTCTGTTTAGTTGCTTAGTTATGGTTAATTATTTGCTTCTTTTGGTTATTGGATCTGATCTATAGAGAAAAATTTGTTTTGTGTTCTCTTGTTCATCTGTTTTATAATTTTATTTGGTTCAAAATCTTCTAACTAGTAGACACCTACTCTCATGCATACGCTTAATAAGTTTACTATTTTACTTCTTTGCTTTTTCTAAAAATATATACATTATTTGACATGGAATCTTGTTTTCTAATTAATACTTTAGAATCAAGAAAAAAAACATTTAGAAAACATTGTTGTTAGATAATGCACTACAAGGGGCATACATTATATGGATAATCTGAATATGATAGTTAAAGCGATACGTAGTATATTGAAAGGTGACAGTGGTGAATAAATTTGTTGTTTCAGATAGAAATGATGTCTGAAATAAATAACTTTACTTGTTCTAGACCATCGCCAGCTTAACACCAAAATGATAATATCAAACAGTTACTGATTAGTCACATATGTTTAACTATACTTCTTCTGATATAGCTGCATACCCGAGTTGGAACCGGTCCGGCCGGTCATCACCGGTTTTTGCCGGTTGAAATTTTTTTATAGATCTGCCATTTTTTTCCTTGTAAAAACTATTAATAACAATTTTTCATGCTTTTATCAAAGCAACCGTTGAATTTCATGAAAAAAAATATGTTTCATTGTTGAAAAATAAAGTCAAAGCTTTATTTCCTAGGTCTAATTTATTTCATAACATTATTTTTAAAGATTGAATTTAATTTGAGATGTTTGTTATTCGGCAAGAAATGCTAGGCCTTTTCCGAATTATCAGATACTACAAAGAAATTTGGCCTGTTATTCGTTTTTTATGTGAAAAAAATAGGGGTGTACAGCTCGCGCTCACGCTCACGAGCGCTCTCGGTATAATCGCTCCCGCTCTCGGCGAGCGCGAGCGTTTCTGCTTTAAATCAGATCTGTTCAAAATATCATCAGCTAGGAATGTACTATTGCTTGCATGTATACAAAAGCGCATATAAAGTTGTTGATATCTCGTATACCTGCTAT